CTTGAGGAGGCTTCACTTCTGAGTTCACCTCTCACAGACATGACTGAACAACAAAAACAAGAGATAGTAGGGAATCACTGGAGTTTCTTGAGCAGGCAAATGACTTGGTTACTGCTGTACTTTAAGAATGTTACTTTGGTAGCTGTTCGAAGGATGGATTGGAAATCGGGGAAACCTGAGGCAGGAAAACAGTTTAGGAGGTTGCAGCAGTCTAGGGGAAGACTTGATGAAAGTCTGAACTACAGCTGTGATTTTAATACGGTGGAGGGTAGGATTAATAAGGTTTGGCAGTTATTGATTGGTCTTTGGGATCAGTTCTCCTAAAGCTCCTTTTCTTCTCTGGACAAGAAACTGTGTAGTGTATATAGAAAGCTGGTTGGGGTTCAAGTCTTAACTTTTACTCATTTTGGTCCTGGGAAGTCACTCTGTAAGTTGCCGAGAAGACATGACCTATGTTGGTAGAGGGAGTTTCCTTACTAGGATTGAGGGATTAAATTAAATCTCAGTTAAATAATAAGTCCAATTCCTATTTCTATCTTCTCCGAAAAACTCCATGAACTGCTTTATCTTTCCAAAGACTAAAATCTTTCTCAATTTAAGTTGTGGTTGCAACAGTGCTATCTTGGGATTTCCCATTTAAGGTGACCATAATCATCCCTGAGGAGTTTCCAGACATTATTCTTCTGTTGGATGTGGAGGTCCTCAATCTACTGTGATTTTATTCTTCACCTCAGATCCCTTTCATCTAACTGTTACCTTTGTATTCAAAGTATCCCAAGCAGTCCTCAGTTTCCTCATGTTAAAGTGTAAGGTAAAGCCAGCACAAGTGACCAATGAATTTGAAATCTTAAGGGATCTGAAAGGGGCTTCCTCTTTGCTTCATTTAGTTTCAACAAATATTTGTGAAACAGTTTTACACCATATAACATGCTGTACAGAAGGCATAGCAAAGACTTAAAATATGGTCTTTGCCTTCATTGAGCTGATAATCAAGTATATATATATAATTTATTAGCTGCCAAGTTGTCTCTGGTTCTGATGTGAGCCAATCTAAAAGTAGTTCACAAGTAGATAAATGTTAAGCCAATTTGTTGATATATTGTTAGTAAGATAAATATAATTTTACTGTATTTTCTTATTGGCCATTGGACTAGATTTTTCTCCCTTCAGTGGCTGGGAATGAGTTTCCTCACACTTAGGAATAGCTTGATGTTGAAATGAAGGGGGTTCATTAGATGATTACTCACTTATAATATCAGCATAATAGCTCACTTTTAAAAAAAAATATTACATTAAGATTTACAAAATCCTTTCCTGCAACAACCCTCTGAGATGTGTAGTAGAAATATTTTCACCCTGTATTGAATGAGAGAAAGAAGCTCAGAGGAGTTAGACTTTTTAGTGGTCATTAGTGGTCATATAACTGGTATATAGGAGCTCAGATGGAAACCCATTATCTTTCTTGTTGTTGAACATATATCTTCCTCAATCAGGTGTATAACTTCTTTTTTTAAATTAATTTATTTTTAGTTTTTAACATTCACTTCCATAAGCTTTTCTTTTTTTTTTTTTGGAACCCTTCCCACCCTTTTTTTTTGGTGAGGCAGTTGGGGTTAAGTGACTTGCCCAGGGTCACACAACTAGTGTTAAGTGTCTGAAGCCAGATTTGAACTCAGATCCTCCTGACTCCAAGGCTGGAGCTCTATCCACTATGCCACCTAGCTGCCCCTTCCATAAGCTTTTGAGTTTTAAATTTTCTCCCCTTCCCTCCCTTCTAGTCTCACAAGATGGCATGAAATCTGATGTAGGCTCTACATATACATTCCTTTAAACATATTTTCACGTTAGTCATGCTGTAAAGAAGAATTAGAAACAATAGGCGGAACCATAAGAAAGAAGAAACAAAACAAAATGGAAGGAAAAAAAAGCAAATAGCATGCTTCAATCTGCATTCAAACTCCATAGTTCTTTTCTGGATGGGGATAGCATTTTCCATGAGACTTTTGGAGATGTCTTAGATCCTTGCATTGCTGAGAAGAGCTTAGTCTATCAGTTAGTCATCGTATAACATTGCTGTTACTGTGTACAATGTTCTCCTGGTTCTACTCTCTTCACTCAGCATTAGACCATGCAAGTCTTTCCAGGATTTTCTGAAGCCTGCCTGCTTATTATTATTCTTATAGCACAATAGTATTCCAGTACATTCATATACCACAACTTGTTCAGCCATCCCCTTAATTTCTAATTCTTGGCCACGACAAAAAGAGCTGCTATAAATATTTTTGTACATGTGGGCCCTTTCCCATTTTTATGATCTCTTTGGGATATAGCCCTGGAAGTGCTATTGCTGGGTCAAAGGGTATGCACAATTGTATAGCCCTTTGGGCATAGTTCCAAATTGCTCTCCAGAGTGGTTGAATCAGTTCACAACTCTACCAACAAATGCATTAATGTTCCAATTTTTCTATATCTTCTCCAGCATTTATCATTGTCCTATTTTGTCACGTTAGCCAGTCTAATGGGTGTGATGTGGTACCTCAGAGTTGTTTTTGATTTGCACCTCTAATCAATATTGATTTAGAGCATTTCTTCATATGACTATAGATTAGTTTCTTCCTCTGAAAACTGCCTACTCATATCCTTTGACCATTTATCAGTTGGGGAATGACTTGCATTCTAATAAATTTGACTCAGTTATCTATATATTTTAGAAATGAGGCCCTTATCAGAGACACTGGTGGTAAAAATTCTTTTCCCGTTTTCTGCTTCCTTCCTAATCTTGGTTGTATTGGCTTTGTTTGTACAAAACCTTTTCAATTTAATGTAATCAAAGTTATCCGTTTTGCATTTTATAATGTTCTCTATTTCTTGTTTGGTCATAAATTCTTCTGTTCTCCATAAATTTGACAGGTAAAGTATTCCTTGTTCTCCCAGTTTGCTTGTGTATCAGTCTTTATGTCTAAATTGTGTACCCATTTTGACTTTATTTTGGTATATGGTGTAAGATTTTGGTCTATGCCTAGTTTCTGCCGTACTCTTTTCCAGTTTTCCCAGTGGTTTTTGTCGAATAGTGAGTTCTTATCCTAGAAGCTGGGGTCTTTGGTTTATCAAACAATAGGTTACTGTAGTTTTGACTACTGTGTCTTGTATACCTAACCTATTCCACTCATCCGCTACTCTGTTTCTTAGACAGGACCAAGCAGTTTTGATGATTGCTGCTTTATAATATAATTTAAGATTGGTATAGCTAGGTTACCTTCCCTAGCACTTCTTTTTATTAGTTCCTTTGATATTGTGCACCTTTTGTTTTTCAAGATGAATCTTACTATTTTTTTCTAGCTCTATGAAATAATTTTTTGGTGCTTTGGTATGGCACTGATCAGGTGTATAATTTCATTAAAGGTTAGTTAATATTACAATCGAAACCATGCTTTCTCTTCAGATTGAATTTTTGTTTTTCTAAGTTCTAAAAAATCATTTTCCTGATCATTTCTTTTCCCATTCTTTACTCTCATGAGTGATCTTGAATGTTTCTTTTTATTTTATCTTTCAAATGAGTGATCATGCATTAGTCCACAGCCCTCATGAGCTTTGTTGCCCTTTTTTGAATAGTAGGCAAGTAAAAGCAAGTGGAGCTACTTTTGTTTACTTTTACCAATCTGGTTAAACACCTCAGACAAACAAATTTGTTATTCGTTTTCCACCATCAGGCCTCCTACATTACAATTTAGACTTTTTTCTTTATCCATATGCAGACAGCTTGCAACCCAGGAAATATTAGGGGACCATCTTGCAGCTGATGCTCTGTCTTTTCATCATGGTGTTAGATTTCTTATGTAACCAGAGAGGGCTTAGCTTAGATTCTGATCCTTAGAAGTGGCCCTATTCCTGAAGATTGCTATTTCCTTGTCACTTACAGAATTTAAGACTTTAAAGATGGTCCTGGTTTAGTCAGTCCTCTTTGTTGAGGGAGAGACCAGTGTGTGCTTTATTGTTCTTGCCTTTTCCTTCTTTCTCTTATTATTCCCATTCTTTTTAACAATATATTTTTTTTCTATTAACATCAAAGGCAGGTCTGTTTAATATTTGCTGCTTCTTGAAAAGGCTTTCTAGAGTGAGAAGTTGAAGCTAATAGATAATGGATTTGGGATGTTTGGAGTAAATTGTATAGTAGCAGCAGCTAATCTCAGTTAATAAGACTGTGTTCTGACTCCTCTGGACCTTTCTTCTCAATATCACTCTTTGTTTCTCATGCTCTTCTTCCCACTTTCTTCCTGACCTTCAGAATTTCAATCACTTCACCCAGTGAAAGAAGTTTTTTGCATTTTCTTATACAAAGTATTTGATTCTGTTCTTCTTTCCAAACCTATTGTTTTTGTTTTTTTTTTTCCTGGTTTTTACAAAATGAAAGACTTACTTGCCTCCTCAGTGTTGAGCAGTAGATTGTATAAATATTAATAACACAAACTATAGCTAGAACACAAATCTCTCTCTCTCTTTTTTTTTTTGCTTTTTGGTGAGGCAATTGGGGTTAAGTGACTTGCCCAGGGTCACACAGCTAGTAGTTGTCAAGTGTCTGAGGCTGGATTTGAATTCGGGTCCTCCTGACTCCAAGGCCAGAGTTCTATCTACTGTGCCACCTAGCTGCCCCTAGAACACAAATCTTGACTTCCATCTTCACGCTGAAGATTCATTGTTACTACTTACTTTTTCTCTGTCTGCCAGTTTGGGAGGTGGGATGGGAAAGTGATCTGTTCCGATGGGTTAATTTATTTTTGGCAAGTTAACTTTTACATTGGATGTAAAGTATTTAACTGAATTTCTAAGGTCTGGAATTCTTCCTATTTCAATCACAGCCCCAAATCAAATTATGCCAGATCATCCTTTGTAGGTGGGGAAAAAAAAGATTTAATCATATTTTCCTTGATTTTAACACTTGTCAAATTTCAACATTAATTTTATGAATAGTTACATGACTGATCATTCTTTCATATTTCTAGGACTATCTTGTTGAGTGTAATCTCACTGCTTAATGAGCCCAACACTTTCTCTCCAGCCAACGTGGATGCTTCAGTTATGTTCAGGAAATGGAGGGACAGTAAAGGAAAAGATAAAGAATATGCTGAAATCATTAGGTAAGATCATATATGTTTGTGTTCTTATTATGCTCATTCATTCCAGGCTAAAATTAGTCAGGGGAATGGATACTTAAGCATTTCCTCTTGAGTTTCATGAACTTTGGGATATAGATGATATACATTAGACCAGGCTCAGATAATGATGATTGATGATGATGATAGCTAACATTTATATAGTGTCTACTGTGTGCCAGGCACTATGCTAATGGCTTCATAATCATTTTCTTATTTGGTCCTCACAGCAACACTGAGAAATAGGTGTTGTTATTTTTATTCCGATGGGACCTATGAAGAAACTGTGACAGACAGAGATTAAGTGATTTTTCCCAAGGTCACACTGTTTATAAATGTCTGAGGTTGGATTTGAACTTGGGTCTCCTGACTCCACTGTGCCACCTAGCTGCTACCACAAGATTAAATGGATTACATTTTAACTCTCACTCCAGAGGTCTTACATGCACAGTCTGAGATACTCATTAGAGAACTCTTGAAAATTTTATTTCTTTTTCATTGCCTTAGCATTTCAGTGCTAAGTAACTGATTTATTTTTATCTCCTTTAGCAATTAGTCTCTTTGTATACTTGTATCACTTTAACAGATTTTCAGCATCGTCATTGCTTTATTTATAAAAAGAAAAAAATACAGTGTCACAAAGTGACAATTGAGGGTTCATTCTTTAACACCTGTTTGTTTTTTAAATAATAGTCATTTAAATAGCAAAGAGTATATAAGCAAAAAATTTCAGAGCCATTGTCCGTCCATCCTAATACTTTGTGAAAGAGGCATAGAAGCACATGTGGAAGATTGTGATCATATCTAAGCCTTTAAAATATGTTTATTTTTATTCTCAGCCTGAACAAATTCTTTGGGGTAATGAGTTGAATAAATGTTCTTCTTAGTGTATATTTCTTTCATGGCATAGTGAAAGTCCTCAGGCCTGGGAATCAGGACACTGGGAACTTAGTCCCAGCCGTGCCACTAATTAATCAATGTGACCTTGTTCAAATCACTTCATGACCTTCCCTGTAAAATAAGAGAGCTGAACTGAGTGATCTGGAACTAAATGATCTCTCCCTTTCAGTTTGAAAATTATGATTCAAGTTTTTCATTGCTTCAGGGCATATTCTCTTGTATTTATATTCTAGAATTTGAGGAGTAAATCTATTCACTCTGTTTGTACATTTAGCAATTTTATAAACTTCAGTCCCATTTTCTCCAAGTCTTCAGCTTTGCAGACGTAAGAACCCTAACTTGTTGCCTGCACTAGTTTTCCTCCTTTGCACTTAACACGTGTCAGTTATCTTACACTTGAGGGGCAGTAACAAGAAGTGTCCGTTTTCTAAATAGCTTTGCACCATCATTTTCTAAAAGGGTAGGCTGATGTTAGCTGCTTAGTTTTCAGTACACTTCTAGATGATGCAGTGTTTATTTTGTTGGTTTTTTGCGTGCCATCAGCACATCGGACCATTTTATTGCTTGAAGGAGGTAACAAACCACAAGTCACTGTCATTACCAGCAGCAAACATTGACAAGTACCTACTTCTTCAGGGCACTGTGTAAATTTTATGCCCTTCAGGTTCTCACAATTTGGTTAATGGAGATGTAGGATGTCTATATATAGGAAAAAGAAATGGAACAAAAGCGATAAAGAACTATATAATATGACTTATTTTGGGGTTGCAGATAAGCTCCTGCCTTATTTAAGATTCCTGCTCTACACTACAAATGCTACAGGAACTCAGAGAAGAGAATAATTTCCAAGGGAAAGGGCAGTCAAGGAATGCTTCAGAAAGAGGTGGCACTGCAGCTGGGCTAGGAGGGGAAAAAAGGCAAGACTTAGGTGATCAGGAAGAGTGTTTCTGATGGGGCTAGGGAAGACTACATGATCAAAGATGAGGTGGTGGTGTACACAGTGTCCAATAAATAATGAATAAGTCATGTTGGCAGGAAAAGCAATTTCATTTATTTAATGGAGTACCAATTAGGTGGATGATGTGCCAGATTTTGAAGGATCTTGAATGCTAGGTAAAGGTATTTGGATCTTATTCTGTAGGTGAGGAATGAGGAATCCCTGAAAGACTTGGGTCCTTGTCTGAGGGCATATGATAGCTTGGAGTTCATCATCCTGTAAGAATACTCACATTATTTCTTTCCTTAAATATGTAATTTATACTTAGCTGTGTTGAAACTCATTTGCTGCTTTTCTGTTCCCTCACATCAAAAGATCTCTCAGTAGTTTATCCCTATCACCTACCTTGACGTTTTACTCTCAGAAAAGTTTATTCTCCAAACACTCAGTGCATTTATTCCATCCTCATTGTTCCCTGGTGATTCTAACTTTATATATTTTTACCCAGAGGAGTACCTATTTGCCCATATTCTGTTTCTTGTCTCTAAGCCAGTTAGTTCTCTGTCATGTTTCCCCTGTCCCATAGTGACTCAGATTGTAATAGTTCCTTTGATTTTCATCTCTGAAAGTGATGATTTAGTTTTAAAGAGTACTCAGGGTATAATAAATAAATCCTCCTTAGGGTTTTGGTAAAGTAAAAGGAGCTCTTGAATATTCTTCTATAAAAGAATGTCTTAAATCTAATCTTCACTCCTACTAAACTAAGCCCACTTAATTAAGTTCAAGAGAAATTTTTTATATGTGTGCTCTGTGCCAGGTGCTGGGAGCACAATGCACACGTTGGGGAAATAAGTACGTCTGGTGAAGGCAACACAGCCGTGTGTGCTTGCTTGATCTGCTGGCTGGAGCTTTCTGAGATGGTGCCTTTGGAAGGGTCTTGTGGGGGGAGCTTGGAGGTCCATCTCATTCTTGGGGGGCTGAGTAAAAACACCAGCTTAAGGCAGACAGACCCGATATGTACTACTTTTCTGTTCTCTTCCTTGTAGGAAACAAGTTTTGGCTACTAAAGCTGAAGCAGAAAAGGATGGCGTGAAGGTCCCCACTACACTGGCTGAATATTGCATCAAAACTAAAGTGCCTTCCAATGACAACAGTTCGGATTTACTTTATGACGACTTGTACGACGATGACATTGATGATGAAGACGAGGAGGAAGAAGATGCCGACTGTTATGATGATGATGATTCTGGGAATGAGGAGTCGTGACCTGCTCCCTCTGTGCCCCCTGTACTGCCCAGCCATCTCAGGCCAAAGGGAGCAGCGGTAAACTCAGCAGTCCAGTGGCAAAAACCATACACAGGGGGTGGGGAAAACAAATGTGTCTACTGCTGTCTCCTGTTGTGTGGATCTCAGTTTGCTCCTTTTTATGGACCTCTCATTGGAGAGGAAGTAACCCTCCACAGAATGTCTGAATTCTTGCATTCTTTATCCTTCCATCACTGTATTACGATTCCTTTTTTAAAACAAAACCTGAAACTCCCATCTCACTTCATCTCTACAAAGTGTTCACAGAGAAACACGTTTGGTCTGTGTTTAGATTCTTGAAGAATTAAATACAGTCTCTCATCAAGACGTTTAATGTATTTAAAGCTGGGAACCCACCAGAAGTTGGGTCTTTGGGAGTTCACAAGTGCTGCATATACTGGGTAGCAAATGAAAAACCGGAAAACAAAACAAAAACCAACCCCACAAAACCTTTTAAAAAAAAAAAAAGAAGCAAATTTGCCAAGGTTCTAGCTGCTCCATGTATGACATTAGTGTGTGCACATTGCATTTAACCTTGTGGTGGTGAATTTTGGTTTCTCTTTTTTTTAAGGTGTGAGGCAGATGGTATAAGCAACTGTGTGGTGAGCTTGAGGAAATGTGTTACTGAAAGGCACAGTACTACTTTTCAGCCTCTCTGAAACAATCTTAATATTGAGACCTCAGCTATACTGGGGTGGAGAGAAAAATCAGATTTTTAAAAAATTGATTGGGATCTAATGCCTGAATAAATATTCATACTTTACATAGAACTGAGCACTTGGTTGCTATTTATTTTTTAAGGCAGGGGTTTTTTTGTGGGATTTTTTTTGGTGAGAAGGAAGGGTTAAAAAAGTCACTATGCCATTTGTGAAGATGCTGCTGGGGGGAGAAGAACTCCTGGTGATAGCCACCACCAGGAGGGGAAATAGTTTTCAGTGGATTTAAAACAAGTCCTTCCCCACAGGGAACAATCTTATGCTACCTGGTGGGTCTGTGTTTGGGTCTTTTAAAGTAGCCGGTGTTATTCAGCCAGTATTAGTCCCAGGAGCATGTCCAGTGTTCTGGTTTTGGTATTTTCATTAAGCTACTACACCCTATAGTGATAAATGTGGATGTGAGTGAGTAGTGACCTGTTAACTGCTTTCTTCATTGAATGTAACCTGAACTGATAAATTTTCTTCTTGTTAAATCTACTTTGTCCTAGTAAAAGTCCTGCACTGATGGTGGCCTGGCTAGATAGCTCCAGAGGCAGAATTAAGAATAGCATGCCCTAAGGGAGAGGGTGACCCTGGGAGGGAAGACCTTACTTAGCTACAGGCAGTAGATGAGCCATGTGGAGTCTGTGTCTGACTTGAAACACCACCTACAGTAGAGTTCCCTTCTCTCTCTTAGGGAAATTTGGGGAAGGTGGGGGAATTCCCTTGATAAACTTTTCTGGAAATCACTGCTTTTAATTTTTCCAGGCCTAACTTGTGTCTCGATTAAATCAACAGGTGGGGTCCTGGCAGCCTTTGACAACTAGGGATTTCAGAATTTGAGCATTTCTGTCAGGGTAAAGGTTCATATTTTCCTTCCATGGAAGGGGAGAGCAGTGAAGAGAGACCCCTAGAATATTAAAGGTTTCACAGGAAGAGAATAAAGGGAGCACTGACCAGAGTCCTATCTTGGATGCGTTTGCTTCATTAGTTCTTTTACTTGGCACTACCTTTTTGGAATGTTCTTCAGTAAGAAAATCCTAGCTGCATCCCAGGGATCATGTAGTAGCTAGGGATTAAGAGTTAATAATGCACTCTTACTTAACTTCCCTTCCTTTCTGATCTCAGGGTTTTCATTAGCTCTTCAATTTCTTGCTTTTTTTGCCTAGCCCTGGGCTAATCATCTTTGGTCCTAAAACCAGCAAGGAGCTGGTTCTGTTTCCTGGGGGAGTGGGGTGGGGACAGGTTCTTTTTAAACAGAAATTGAGGAGAATTTGCTGGGCCCTGCACCAGCACTTGCTGCTAGCCACCTCTCATTAAACATCCTTATAACACCTGGGCTTTTAACTCCCTTGTTATTGACTTAAGGATGACTTCAGGGGCCCTTAATTTATCTTAACCTGTCCCTGTGACATCCTCCAGTGCCCAGCAGCTGAGAGTCAAAAGTTAGTTGCCCAGTTTTGTTATTTCTAATAGATCCCTAGGGGTTTCATATCCCTTGCTGCTGAGAAATCTACAAGCCAGTCTTGGCTCCTTTTTATTTTAGAGTTGCTGCTGAGCCCTGGCTGAGGCTGTGTCCATCTTCCTAAGATCCATCAGCCTCTGTTGCATGTTGACTCAGGGAGCCAAAGATGGAAGGTAGAGAATGTAGGTGGAGCTTCTGGCTTAGCCTTTTGCTGTGTTACTTATTGAGTGTGTGGCTATTCCTATTAGATAGTAATCTAATAAGATTGTGTTCAAGAAACATCTGGGGTGTAATAGCTTTTAAAAAACTGTAGACATTCATAAGACAGTCTTGACTCTGTGAACCTAGTGTATACATCCCAGGGACTCTGAGAATACGTCTAACTAACGTAACTGGCCTTGGTGGCAGCCTGTGCTATCTGTGGGGAAGTGGCCAAGTGTGGTTCATGTTTCCTATTTCCCTTTTATGGAGGTTAAGGGGAGGTGATTCAAGGGCCAGAGGTTCAGGCCAGATCATTGTTACAGTAACTGTGCCAATGACTTGGTTTGAAATGAGGATGCTGCATCTTTCAGGATCTGCTTCCCTTTGTACTATGAGAGACCTTACTATGGTGATCTCCAGTGACGCATATATTCAGGCTTGGTGGTAGAAGATGCATTATCATGATTCTTTTGTTGGTTCCCCTGCCCCTCTGCTTTATTTTAAAAACATTTCCAGTTTTTACCCCCATTTGACTAATCATTTCTTCTTTGTTACACCCAAGTGTCATTTACTTGTTTACTTGCTGGTTTCTGTTGTTTTGGAGACACACAAGCAAAGTAAGACTATGAAAGTATCTAAGTAATTGAGGGGAAAAAGTTTACCTTAACTATAACATTATTGCTTTTCTTACCCCACCCTCCTTCCCATCCTGATGAACAAGGTTTACATTTATTATTAAAACAAGATTCAGATGCAACTTTCAACTGTTCTGAAACCAGCAGGATGCACTAGACTTCTTAGTAATTTTCATAGCTAAAATTCTAGATGTTTTCCTTTTTTCTTCAGTATTATAATTTACCAGAAAGGATTAACTGATGCATTTTGTGTTGTCCTCCCCCTTAGTAGTTTATTTTTGTCTTTTCTGCACATCTGTCTACTAATAAAATGTGAAATAAAATATAATACCTGTATTGTTACTTCCCCATGGAATGATCCGCTTTTTTCCCCGTGGGTTAAAAAATTTTGAAGTTTTCAGTATCTCCATTGTTCCCCTTGAGTCTGTGCACCTGGGTATTTGCTGTAAAGTTACTTCATGGAATGTTGGTGTGTCACTCTCACTTCCTAGATAAACTAGTCCTCACCTTCGAGCCAAGGGTGAACCTAAGCAACAGACATGACTGCCTGGGAAATCACCATACCTTGACATGTTCAAGCTATTTATTTAATTGGTATTTCAAGGAAATAGTTTTGCTTTCTTTTCCACCACCCTTCCCTTCTTTATAGATATTAAAGCTTATGGGCATGACCTGGAAATAGCTGGAGTCAAGAAATATTTATTATGAAACTAACAACTATTAAGAAACTAAGAACATTGGTGTTGCTGGAGGGTGGGGGTGGGGTAGGGGTGGTAGTTGAAGGATGTAACATTGTGTTTGCTATTTCGGTGTATAATTTGTTCACTGGCTCCAACAGTGAATGTACCTGTCAATAAATTGTGGGTTTGGATGAGGAAGAGGCAGTAGTTCTAAGAGTTATGTTTTAAATGTTGCATGGTATTTCCCTTACCCCTGATATTAGCCATGGAAAGCATGGACAGTGTCCATTTCCATGGCAATGCTTTCCAACAGAGTTCACCCCTTCAGGTTTTTTGGGGTTTTTTTGCCTCTTCTTGCCCACTCCCAGTATGGGAGAACCTTGTGAAACTAGCTAAGATGGAGAGGCAGAATTTATCAGTTGCCTTGGGCAGGATTACACCTTTGGATTCTGCAGGTGAGGCAGCCTATGAAACGTTTTCATTTCCCTTAGAAGTGATTCTACCCATCAACCTAGTAATTTGGAAAAGGCACACTTTGGAATCTTAGTGAAACTTTCCAAACCCAGAATTTTTGTAGCTAATTTTTTAGGAGGGAATTAGGCCAAAATAATGATAGTCTAATCTCACCTCATATGGGCAGTACATTCCCATTTCCTCTAGGAAGACATATTCAGGAAGCTGAATGAAGATTGTTTGAAGATAACTCAGAATAAAAAGGAACATTTTCTTTAGAATACCAAATTAACTTGCTGAATTCTGGATTCTAGGAATACACATGGCCCCTGGAATATTCATTTGCCTGGAAGCAAATGAAGACTCGATTTACTTTCCATTTTTTTTCCCCCCCAAAGAAATCTCTATTGAGCTACAGGTATCCTCTGCTTGCTTTTTAATTTCAGGGCTTTTGTCCTTCTTAGCTCCTATAAAGCAAGTTTCTGTTGCCTTTCTACACCACACCTCCACCTAATTTCAAATACTGTTCCCTTAAGCTTTTGTCAGATTAACCTCTGACCCCATCCAAAGGTCATTTTTCCTTGTCTACCAAGCAGTATGGAGGTCTGTGTTTAAACCTATTATAGTAACTCAAAACTAAGGCAAAATTCTCTTTCCCTAAGGTTTCCAAATCTTTTGAGTTTGTCTTAATCTATAAACTAGTGGAGAAAGGAAGAGGCAAAAGTTCTGTATCACTCTTTGCCCCCAGCCTTACTTAGTCTATCCATTTTTTTCTTCCATTACATTAGCTTACTTCCAAAATGAACTAGGGTTTGGGTTCACATTTTGATTATTATCTTATTTTGTTTAAATAGATGTCTGGTTTATTATTATAATTGTTGGGCAGTAAGTAGGACTGGCTTTTACACTTATTTATCTGGATTACAACTACAAATTCTAATTAAGGTGTCAGTGCTTTGCTCCATAGGATGTTAATTTATCAGACATACAACCTCATTCCCTCATGGCCAGCCACCATGTTTTTTTGTCTTATCTTCCTGGTCAAAAATTGTTCAAGGTGAATAACAGAACCCAGAAAAAATGGCATACCAAAGATATCCGAGATGCTTTGAAGGTGATCTCAGCTACTGGAGGTAGTCACTGGTGGGTCATCTTGTATATACCCTAATTTTTCAGTTGTCCATAGGAAAGCCATCTAGCATGTCGACATTTGTTTGACCTGAAGTTCTCACCTTCCTAGACCTGACAGACACAAGTCTGTGATGACTTCAGAAACAACACTGAAACCCATATCCCCCAAAGTGTATCTATCGCCTTAGTTGCATTACCTGAAATTCTACCTTTTGCATTTCATTTCTGTGGGTTAAATTCAGGCTCGTTTTCTTTTTTGTTTTTGGCTAGGCAATGGGGTTAAAGTAACTTGCCCAGGGTCCCACGGCTAGTAAGTGTTGTGTCTGAGGCCGGATTTGAACTTGGGTCCTCCTGACTCCAGGGCCAGTGCTCTATCCACTGCACCACCTAGCTGCCCCTTCAGTCTTATTTTCAAAGCAAGGCAGGAACAGCCAGCGTGTGAATTCAAAATTTTGTTCAGAACAAATATTAAGGACCTCCTTGAAATATTTGTACTTCATTTTTTCAGTCCAATTTTTTTAAAAAGGGTGGTTTTTGTATTTCAAAATTCCTTTTTACATCAATTATTTCCAAGTTATTGCTCCCCTGTAACTATGTAATCTTATATATTTGAAAACATTGAGAAAAGATCCATGACACACACAAAAAGCTTAAGAGCCCCAATCTTGTGTAAACTATGTTACAAATGAATGAACAGTTTAGGGATTGTGACTTGCCCCCTAAAAGTTATGCGGCTCCTAACCTTGATTACTCTACTGCCAGATCAGTCTTTGATCTAAGAACTAATATGAGATGAAAATACAATTCAGAATTAATTGGTTGGATGTCCAGACTCAGTAGTCATTGATGGTTTGATTTCAACATGGTAGTCTGTGGTGTAGTATCAATTGTCTTAGCTTGCTCCTATGATTTTTTAAAAAATGATTTGGAGAAAGGGATAGATTATACTCATTAAGATCCACAGATGAGAAGAAACCTAGAAGGAATCCCTACTGGGTGACAAAATGATCTTGATAATAGGCATACACACGTATGCTTATTGGATGAACCCAATAAAATGAAATTCAGTAAAGTTTTATATACCTTCTGGTGTCAAAACTTCAGCTTCACAAGTATAAGATGGGGAGGAGGCATGCACTGAATAGTTTTCAGTACATTTTTGTGCACTTGAATGCTCATTCCAAGTTAGTGTCATTTGGCACATAAAAACCACTCTTGGGCTGCGTTGAGAGGCAGATCCAGTGGAATAGGGAATCTTGGTATAGGGAAGCTGACTGAATAGTCCCAAGGTGTGGGTGTCATAAGTTAAGTCATTGATAAGCCTTCAGAGTATTCAGAAGGGCCAACAACAGGATGGTGGAGGTATTTGAGGTCATGTGATAGGAACAGTTGAAAGTACTTGGGAACAAAGACTAGGGAAATGACAACTGTCAAGTATTTGAAGGCCTGTCATGAGGAAGTAAGATTAGCTTTGTTCTGTTTATCCCTTATGCCCAAGAGGGCAGATCCAGAGGCAACATGGGAAAGTTGCAAATGGGCCAACTAAGAGATTGCTTTTTGGTATAGGTTGGACTAGATGGCTGCTTCTTAATACTTCTCAAATTTTTTGTGACTTAATTGTAATTTTGTGATTCCTCCAGTTTTTTTTTGTTTTTTTGCTTCCTGAATGTTTCACTAGCACTTAAAAACATTTAAGCTCAACAAGGCTCCATTTTTGTAGTCACCTAAGCATTTGGACTTTCTCCTCATCATATCCATTCTTTTCCACACCATTAGCAACTATTCCAACCTCTTCATGCCTTGCTGCATTTTTCCTAAACACTGATGCCAGATTTTTGTAATGCATCCAGAAAGGTATTGGGGGCTGGTATCTCTGCATTCTGCATACACCTTCACTTTACATATGAAACAAAGGGAATCCTAACAGCTTTTTTCAAGGGAAGTCCGGTGCCATCTCACTTCATAATTTTTCAAATTTTTTCTCCCATCTTATGTTCCCTTTACAAATATGAACAGTTTGGAGGGGCTTATCAACTGAGCAGTCACAGGGACTAAAAGCCAGTTTCTCATCTTGAGGTTTGCTCACCTCAAGGTAAGGCAACCCAGGTTGAGCTCAGTGGAGTGGAACTTGTTTGATTCCCAGCGATTGTTTTGGGTAAACTGGCGCTGTCTGAAGTTTCCTCTTTCAATGGAGCTCATCCAACCCTGGGATAAAGGAATGCCTCCTATTGTGAGGTGGAGTTGATGCCCTAAATCGATGGGGGAGTGGGAATATCAAAGTCAGTGAAGAAGCTTCTCTTCTTAAATTCTCATTCAGAGAATTCAGTGGCCAGAAGTTGTTTACCTTCAGTTCTGTGCTATGAGACCCAGTCAAATGACGACATCCAAAAGATATATGTACTCTCAGAACTTTATTATGTGGAGTTTGGGCTAAAAAGAAACGAAACTTCTGAAACAGTCACCCAATTTGGTGCAGGACAGTAGGAACAAAGCCTGTGTTCCTCTTGGGTTGAAGGGAGCTTGTTTTCTTTTAAAAGGGAGGGTGGGAGAGTAGTTGGCCCTACTTTGTGGGCATGGGCCAGGTACAAGAGTGGGGACAGAGACAGTTTCAGGAACTATACGGGCTGAGGTCCTGATGGAAAAAAAAAAAGTTCTTGGAGGGTGGGGCCTCCCCTACACAGACACATGGCCCATGTCCGATTTCACCTTAGGGAGGGGATGGGACACTTCTCCTGTCATCCGGCCAGAGTGAACGCCAACAGGCTGGGGAAGAGATGGGATGGGACAAATGACAAAATGGTGGTTTAAAAAAAAGTAACAGCAAAACCAACATAGGGAACGAAAACTCAATGGCATGGAAGGGAAGTGAGGAGATGGGGGGGAGGAGGGAGAGGGAGAGAGAGAGAGAGAAAAAACAAAACAAAACCTTGATTCTTCATGTGTACTAGGCCTTTCCAAACCTGAACTGCCTTGGCTGAGGGTCCCCTTCCCTTTCCCCCCTCCTCCCACTCCCCTCCCATGCCCCTGTCAGAACAAGTGGGTCAGAGTGGAAGCCCAGAGAGTTGGGGTCAAAGGAGAGACAAAGGGGGAAGGGGAGGATCCTCTTTCCCAACGGAGTGCACACGGCTGCAGGCTGTAGACACCACAAGTATGTAGGTTTCTATGACATTTACAAATACATACATAAATATATTACATACAACAGTGAATCAGGGGCAGGCAGATAGATGCTCCCCCTAGACGGACTCTTGGCTGAGACAGTTACTGTTTCTCCGTAAGTATTCTTCTGATAAAATGATGCCCGTTTCCAAGAATTGGTTTCTGTGTGTTGGTTCTCCTCTCAGGTCCAGTGTCTTCCCCCTTCCCCCCCCGGAGGCTCAGTTTGTCCAGTATGGAGAACTGCCGTAGGTGGGCTTGGTGGCCTGAGACTTTGGCTGCAGGGTACTGGGCTGGCTACGCTGGCCAGAGCCACCCTGCAAAGTGAAGGCCCCAGACTGTCAGGCCTTGGGGCAGGGGACGCAAAGTCCCAGAGTCCTTCTGTTCTGATCCCCAGCCCAACCTATGCTCTTCTCTCCACCCCCACCCCCCAGTCAATAACTGATCACTTTTGTGGACTGGGGTGGAGGGGAGAGGAGTCCTCCTGGGGCTTAGCCTATACTTACCTGACCGTCTTGCTGGAGATGGTGATGTAGCATCTGGGAATGGGGCTGCTGGTGGGCAGGCAGGATATGCAGGAACGGGGCCGGGGCATAACCCGGAGCGGCACCAGGGGTCAGTGGGCCTGTGGAGCCCAGGGCTGAGGGCAGGCTGAATGGTGGTGGGGTGCCCGCATGGAATCCCTGTTTGTCAAATGTCTGCAATGTGGATAGGTAGGGAGTAGGGCGATACATCTGATAAGTAGAAGAACTGAGAAGCGAAGAGTTTCCATACTCTATTGCCTCTTTGGGTTGGTCCTTCCTCACCTAAATGGAATGGGGCATAGCCCCCATCCTAAAACCTGGCCCACTCCCTCATTTTACCTTTGAGGAAACTGAGTCAAGGAATGTGAAGTAACATGCTTAAAATTGTAAGCGGGAATGCCAAGACTGCCCTGCACGACACAGGGTGCCTCCATGTTTTCCATGGATGTGACAGGCTTGTTGAGCACAAAAGGAAAAGTGTGGGGAACTGGGGCTAGGTTGAGGGGGCCCTGGGCATAAAGTCGTTTCCCCCTTCTTCCTGCAACTCACCTGAGTCTTGTTGTACACGGAACCAGCTATGTCAGGCACACCTGTATTACTTGAGGTCACTGACACCCCTGTGAAATAAACAGCAGCTGGTCTCCCTAGGGCAGTACTTCCTGCTCCAATGCCAGTGTAAGGGGCAGAAAGATGGTGCAGGAAGGGTTGGAAGATTCTGGGAGTTCAGCCAAAGCTACAGATGCTCCTTGCCTAATGTTAACAGTGACCCAAGTGAGTTTAGTAAATAAAAATGAACACCACCCCACCAAAATGGAAAAAAAACCAAAACCCAAAAAAAATTAAAAAAAACCCCAAAACCAAAGCAAAAAAAACCCCATAAAGAAACCAAAACTTACAAAAAGAACTTTATGTAGATTCAGCTGTTGCTGAGAAACAAGCAGTGGAATTATGGGGAACTCTTGAGGGAAAAGGTAGGAAGAAAATGGGTTAAGGTCAAGGCACTACCTTTTCCAGGTCCAGAACCAGCAGACTTGTTTTGTGCTGGTGATGAACCACTATAGGCTCCTTTGCTGTAATCTCCAGCTGCCGTCCCCTGGGTCAAGTCATCATAACCTGCCAGGCATCAGGAATGGTGAGCACAGTAGGCTTGAGAGGAAACCCAGTCCCAAGTCCTCTCTCTTGGCCTTGCCCCCTCACCTGCTCCATAGCTGTGCTGGCCATAACCACTGGCCTGCTGAAAGGGGGCAGTGGCGGTGTTCAGATTCACTCCATGCTGTTTAGCTGAAGCAGGAGGGACCTGAAGGGGGCAGGGAGACACAATTCTGGGGCAAGGACATTGATAAGCAGCAACACCTGCAGTTTTCTTTCTCCATGCCTTTCAACATGATACTTAGGTGGTTATCCCCTTTCAGGAAACCTGTCTTAACCCTAGTTAAGTGCTCTTCTGTGTCCCCAAGACAGTAACCTGCTCTGCAAGTATGAGACTGAGAAGGATTTTTCTAAGTTGGGGTCAACCTGTGAGACAGAGATGTCTTGTACAGATTAAAATAACTGCTTCCAAAAGGGGTAAGGAATGATTTCCTACTGGGTGCCTGGGACAGCTGAAGTGATATTCTAGCTACTGAAAATGGCAATGTATGAAGCAACCCATAAAGAGCAAGGAATCAAGGCAGACCCTAGAGAAACTGATCAAATTCTATCTCCAATACGGTGATCAAAACAAAACAAAACCCAAGAAGAATGTTTCTTGAACGGCATTCTTTGGTTAAGAATGGCTATTGGGGAAGCAGAGAGGCAGAGAAGCTTGGCCACTAGAGTCAAGAATTAGAATGAACCTTGCTCAATGTGGGAAGACCCTCCAAAATAACCCAACTCCATTTTTGGATAATTAGCTGCTAGTGGGAAGCAGAAACTTTCCTCAAGACCACGAACCATCGCTTCTGACACAGCCTTTTGCATGGCTGAAAGCTGTTTTTCTGTCCCCAAACGTGCACCCACATACTCACAAACATCGTTGGCCCATACTGGAAGGCGCTGGGCACGCCAGCATAGTAGGGGAGGCCAGCGTAGCTGTAGCCGGGAGGCAGCGTGGGGTTGAGAAAAGGCTGTTGCGCTGTGTGGTGGGTCTGAGATTGGTTCTGCTGCGGCTGAGCCAAAGTGGTGGTGGGAGCAGGGGATGCAGAATCTCCACGGCCAAACTTAGTTACGTCACCTGCAGGGGGAAGGCAGCAGGTCCAAGAGCTGACCTCTTTTACCTTGCAGGAAGCAGTCCCAGCTGAGCAGGAGATGTAGGGATGTCCAAGGGCAGGAAGACAGGATCCAGGTCTCCTACCTAGCTCAGTGCTGGCCCCATTCTGACCACTCCCTTCCCTCTCGAAGCAGCAAGAGAGAACAGAAAGACTCTGGCCCAATGGAAGAATATACAAGAGTGGATGGGGTACAGGGAAAACTGCCGAGTCACTGTAACTTATGTCAGCCTTCCTCCTCTCCGACTCAAGGTAGCAGAAAGGCTTGGCCCCTCTTGCAAATACACCATCTGATTCTATCAGCATCTAGCCTGGGGCCCAGACCGGTAAAGTGAGTTGCCCAAAGTCACAAAGGGATCCAGAACCAGAACATCCAGCGCTCTTTTTATTACACCACAGCTGAAAGCAAAAGTTATTAGGGATGGTCCCCTTCACAGGACAGACAGGGAATGGTCTTAGATCCGACTGCTTTGTGGACAGTCACAATGTTACCTACAAAGAAAAGATGGGCAAAGTGGATTCTAGTTCACCTAAACCCTACGTTTTGGGATCGGTACCACAAGCCTCAAGGTGGCCCTGAAGCAGGGATGGGAGAGAAAAATCCAACCTAGTCACATCTTCCCCGAAAAGGCACAAACCTGAGTATGGGTTATTAGCAAGGCTCCCATCTCTGCCGGTGAGGGTCGCAGGAGCAGGGAATGTAATTCCATAATAATCCTGGAAGAGACACCCCCAAACAACTCGATCAACCCCAAACCACCACAGGACAGCACAAACCCCCAGCAGGCAAAGGCACACGGCAGCACCAGAACGCACAGCGATTCCAACACACCTGGGACAGGGTTGGGGCAGGGGGGAGGGATTTCAAGGGGAAGGACAGACAGACACAGCCCAGGCATGGTCAGAGTCAGATGGGACCTGGCCAGGATGCCTAGGTACCCAATCCCACACACTCCTGTTTCGTACCTTAACTGGCTGGCTGCAAATGCTACAAGGCCTAAAAAATGCTACTCTTTCCTAAATCAAAGACTCAGAACAGCAGCTAAAAAAGTTGATTGAACAGTACAAACCTGAAAAGGAGTCATCAGTAGAGGAGGTGCCTAAAGGGTTAAAAAGGGGACAGCCAAAAATCAGGGGGGAGGTACGCGAGGGTCGGGCTGGGAGGGCAGACTCCCCCCAGTGCTAGCATTAAAGGAAATGATGGACTGAGAGCTTGTTAAGACTTTGGTGTTTGTCTACAATCAGCAACATGACAGTGAGTTATGACAACCATCACACCCACCACCCTGGGGCTGAGGCAACCGCACTGACACCTGGAGAGCATAGGAGGAGGAACGTGGAGAAGGCAGTGACTCTATGTATGAGCAGCAGCAGCAGCAGCAGCAGCAGAGATGGCAAAGTTCAGCAAGTTCCTCCCCCCTCCCCCTTCCCCCCTCCCCCAGGGGGCTGGGATAGAAGAAGAGAGATGTCTTATGCCATGTTATTGCTGCCCAATCCAACCTCCCTATCAAAGCCTGGTGAACACTCCTCCCTCTCTCCCTCTAACAGGTCAAAAGCAGGGGCCAGCAGCAATAAAGCCACCACATGCTTTTGGGGGTTGGGTGGGGTGACATTTCGACCAAATTGAAGGCACTTTTGGCGAAGGGTCGTGAAGAGCTGGCTAGAAGACCTCAATGTCTTATCTTTAAGGTTTAACACACATTAACCATCAGCTACTAATGAGATTATTTTTAATTGGGTGGAGCCTATGCTCTGGAGAATGCAAACTGAATTACAAGCAAGTGGTTATGGAAGGGAATCACCTTCCTGGGAAAATGATCACAAACAGAGGGTCACCTTTCTCCAGGGCTGGGGTTTTTTGGCAGAGAGGGCCTACCGGGTAATGTGAAAACTAACCAAAGCCCCATGGAATACAGGCAGAAGTGAGCTGCCAAAGCCACTCAGTATGGCTGCATAGCATAATAAATAATAATGTAACTCACATTTATATAGTGCTTTATGGTTAACAAAGAATTTTCCCCACAACAACCCTGTGAGGTAGGTAGTTATGGCATTATCGACATTTCACAGAAGAAGAAACTGAGGCTCAGAAGTCAAGTGACTTGCCCAAAGTAGTAGAGCGAAGAAATGGCAAAGCTCCTGGGTCAGTGCTCCTCTCACTACACCAGGCTGCCTCTCTTACCACTGGCTTGCTAGAGGAGGACTCCCACCCCACTGGCTAAGTGCACACAAGTCACTGCTCTCATCTAGTTTTACATGGCTGTGTCGAGAAAGAAAAAAAGTAACTTAAGAGAAACAACAGCCTTCTTCTTCCTCCTCCTCTTCTCCTGGGCAGGAAGCAGCCATGACTAAATAGGAACTCAAAAGTGTGTTACATGGGGGAGGGTTGTGAGATCTGGCACTTAAAACGGACTCCTGGAGGCCTCCCTGAGGGAACTATCTCCTATGTGGCCACCACTTGTGCTAGGCCAAGGCTGAAGACCTATGAGCTCTGTTTTAGGCCACTGCAAATTACTGAGCCTGAATAAATGTGGCCTTAAAATTCATCAGGAATGCATTACGAACACTGACCAGAAGACTAGTCAGAAACTTGGTGCTCCACATTTGCCAAGAAGAGAGGGAGTTATCTGCATCTTCAGAGCTGTTCCTAAATGCTACAGAAAGAACATGCTTTGTATACAAAAAATGCCTAGTTACTTTGCCATACATAATCTTATCGCTGAAAAAAAGTGGGCCTCAAAGTTCTACAGATTAAAAATGACCACACAAAATTGAAAATGGTAGAACTCTTTAAATGCAAAGAATGGGGAAAACTCTGCAAAGCTCAAAAAAGATAAAAAAGGAAAATGGGTCTTGTTTTTAAATAGAGACAACCGCTGGGCAGATCCCTTCATCTCAGTTTTGAGTTTTCTCACTGGCTATTATTACTGTTGCTTTTCACTCAAATCTACCATGCCTAGAACCTTCCTTCGAAGCAGCTCCTACACACTGTCTCCAAGGGTTTCCTCTGGAGTGTCTTAACCAGCCAACACAACCTGCAATTCAAATCCTCAGAAAGTCTTAAAGTTATCAGTCATTTCCAAAGGCCAAATGTCAAGGCACTAACTTGAGAAATCTGTCATCAAGCTTCATTGTCATCAGCAAAAAACAACTTGCAGGTTTGGTGGGAGAGGGTAATAAGGATTCCCTCGTGAGAGGTTCCTATAGACACTTGACTGAGTCTGTGATGAACTCATGGCATGCATGGTTCCCAGACTGCCATCCTCAGGCTGAAAAAAATACTTCCAAAAGACACAGCATTTCTTAAAGGGCAGGAATTGCAATTAATGCTCTTGGTAGATCTGTCAAGAGTAGAAATGAGGAGGTGTTTTCAGTGGGAATCAACACGACAGTTTTTGACTAAGGAAGAAAAACTATAAGAACCAAAAAGATGAGACTGAAAGCTTAATAATTTGGTCCTAGGCAATACATCCACCTGCTTATGATACCAGTGGGGAAATAAATTATCTCAATTTAGGAGACAGGGTTTATAAAATTACTTTTAAATCCGTTGTGACTACATTCTGTCAAGTAATATTCTCAGAATTCAGAATGACTGAGAAGAGTTAACTGGCATTGTTTTTAAAAGGTTCAGAAAAGGAAAAATTTAGAAAATGAGAACTAAAGAGAGAAAAGCTGCTATGGATTTTCAGTCTAGTGAAGGAAAAGACTAAAGGAACCACAGGATTAGAACTAGCTGTTCTCCATCTAAATGGCTGAGAAACTGAAATCTGCTTGAGATGGTTTTAAAGAATTCTTGCCTGAAGGGAAGGGGACAGCTCTGCTCTTCCTGGCCCTAGGAAGACTTCTAAAGATGCAGGCTAGTTGCATCTAGAATGGTGACTGTATAAAATGAAGGTTGTGTTTATGACAATAAGTAAATTTTATCTTTGTGACACTGCTGGTCTGAAAAACAGGAGCAGTGACATCTTTATATTCAGTCACCAACAGGAAAAGCAAGTGTTTTGTATTCTTAGCAACTAGCAGAACTGAAAAGAGTACAGAGCCAACCTGGATTTGGAATCAAAGACTGTTATAAATCCTTTAGTTCCCGTTTCCAGGTTTTGTGGATAAGAAAAATTACCTTCCTAGCAAATGGGATTGCTATGACAATATCTGAACTAGCTAATGATGAAGTTTTTGACTGGATATTCAAGAAGGAAAAGAAGATAAAAGATTAGAGATAAATTCAAATGACCCATGTAAAATAGGTCTGTTAATGGATGTAACCATGGATATTATTTCTTAGCTTTTAAAGAAAAGAATGGAGGGTGGGGGAAATAAATTAAAGGGAGAAGGAATACAGAAAGGAGAGAATTAGGTTGAACCTAAATTGGGACTGGTGGGAAAAGAACATAAATCCTGTTAGATTTTGTGTTACTGGGGAGTATTAGGGAACTAACATAACCATATGTCAGACATGATTGGGCGGTCGGGGGTTTCAGATTGTGATTTCCTCATAGGCCACACAAAGAGATATTTAATTAAAAACATCACTGAAGTTAAACATTTATTTCCTTCCTTTTTTCTTTCTTAAATTTGGGTCAAGTTTCTCCCCCACCCCCTCGGAATCCTATGTGTAAGACCTTGTAGAGTTCTGATCTAGAGGTAACCCAAGACTGAGGCAGATTAATATGACCAGGTTCCTCTGAAGCCTCCTCCCTGAAGTACCTTATGCTCACTCACTACAGATAAAAAAGACTAGGCAGGAAGAAGATTAGGACTGGAAATGGATTCTTTTATCTGAATCTCATGGAAAAGTGGAGTAATGTAAAATTATCCTTCCTTTTCCTGGTAATCTTAAGAATTTCCTAAATCAATGGGCAGCAAATTTTTTTTTCAGCTAGAAATTACTAAAGTAAATCTAAGCCATGCCTGTGGAGACCCTGAGCAGGCATAAGGACAAAGGAAGGGAAAGGAAATATGGTGAAGAAAAAGCAATTATGGGTGAAGGAAGAGAGAAGGAAAGGCAAAAAAAGATAAAAATGGTAGCTACAGCGAAGAGGGACAGTGTCAGCAGGTGCCTACCCTTGCCTTATATGTCTGGCCCATTATGATGACGACAGTTGATGAACAACACAACAAGTCAATTCCTCCGTGTTTAATCTTGCCTGCCACTTTCAGGAGGATGGGTGTTGTGCCACAATCTGACCAACAGTTTCCTACTTACCATTGGTAGCCTGGACTGGAGCATCTGGAGATCATCATAGCCATAAATCTGCTTGAAGACAAAGACAAGCAACATGTGCATTATAACACTCTCCCATCCCTGAAGCCATAGACTCCCCCCCAAATTTTGAACCCCAGGGAAGAAGTTCAAAACTGTTGCTGGCAAGGCACCATATCAGTGATGAAGGACCCAAATGGGGAAGGAGGGAAACCCAAGGAAGAATAATTGTTACAACCCAGGAGAGAGATTCTAATTTGGACTTTATAAATAACCAACTCACCCACTGGTTTTAACATATAGCTTGCTCCTTGGTGGAAGCCAGGAAAAAGGAAGGAGCCAGCTCTGTGCTGGAGTTGAGATCACCTGGCTCAGCTCCTACAGTCACAGGAAGCCTGGATTTCTAGGTTAGGAATTGGAAGCGCCAGGACTCTCATCGAACTACATCCTTCCCCTCTAACAGGTTAGATCAGCAACCACGAACAGGTCAGCTGTCTCTGAGCACAGCTTAGTTTTTGGAGAAAATATCTTCAATGCAAAGTCTGAATGCTATGTTGTCCCAGGAGTTGAATTTTACAGTGTTGGGAGCTAAGCCCAGTTGTGTTATTCAAATCACTCCTTTGCCTTCATCAGTAAGCTCCTGTCTGTTCCTTTGAGGAATCTGGACCAAAGAGTGAATGTACTCCAGGGTTCAGGAAGAATACATAGAGTAGCAAGGGGGCAGTAAGAATGATAGTACTATTGAGCTTCATAAGGCCCTGACAACCTACAGCTCCTGGAATGAGCAGCCTTTATGCTTCTGGGGGTAGGGCACATCACACACATAACTCTGGGTAAGGAAGACTTGCCCACAGTGCCTTACCTAATAATCACTGATAAACAGCACTGAGGACAAATTTCCTATTAACAAGGGGCATAAGAGGAAGACTATAAATTAAGCGCACGTTACAATTCCAGGAGCCAGAGAAGGGGCCTGGAACACCACCCCCAAAACTGCCAAATCAAGGCAGTCAGAGCAGAGACAAGGTATAAAGAGAGTGCTTACTGGGTAGGCAGGCAGGAGTCCTCCAGGACCCACAATGTACTGGTTATGAAGAAGGGGTGGGACACCTTGTGGTAGGTTGGGGGGAGCTTTGCCTGTAGAAGCAAAAACAAACAAACAAACAAACAAACAAACAAACAAAAAAACAAACCACCAAACCATGTAAAGCAGTAATGAAAACACTATTGACAGAACCCTACCGGTCCACTGGTGATAATCCCTAATTTCATGGCAAGTCAGAAGAACCTCAGTCAAATAGGTCCTGTGATACTAACTATACACCAAAGTTTGGATCACATGTATGCTTGGGAATGGGGTGGCACACATTGGAGAGATAATTCAAAGGCTGACTGCTTACACTTTGCAACTGGGTCACTATCTCCTGAAAAGTGAATGCTGGAGCCTCTAGGTAGCAAAAGTGAAGCCACCTGCTGGATGAGATGTGACTGAATTCCATGTAGTATTTTGTGTGTGTGTGTGTGTGTGTGTGTGTGTGTGTGTGTGTGTGTGTGTGTGTGTGTGTAAAAGGATGGGGAGGGAGGGGTGAATGTGCATTAAAGTGTGAAAAACTACAGTGGTATGCACAAGATCAACTTGGGAGTTAGTGAGAGGAAAACAGTACAGGAAAATCAAACTGAGTGGAAAAAAAAACCAAAATGCTTCAAAAACCATTACTATTATTATTATTTTGCCATCCATAACCTGAGAACACTTAAACACATTCTTGAAGATAGGGGATCTTAATCTTCTTTTGTGACATGGTGCTCTTTCATAGTCTGGTGAAGTTTATGAATCCCTTCTAAGAATAATGCATTTAAATGCATAAAAAATTAGAAAGGAAGCAAATTATACTGAAATACAGTTAAAGTATTTCAAAAGCAAGGGCATAGACCCTAGGGTTAAGAACCTCTGTCCTAAGAGAATAAATATGTTCAAACAGGTTATCAGATTTCAAAAAGGCAAAATTTATATATTCATACCAAGAAGTGAGGGTGGGCAAAGTCAGGACTGTGGATTCAGGGGAGCAGCTGAACAACAGCTTGTCTTGCTAAGTTAAACACAGTACCCTGCGAGAGATCTCCCTACTTGTGAAATTACAGCTAAATCCCTTACTCCTCTACCCCCAAGAGTAGCATTTTCTTAGGCTACAGCAGGGCATGAAGCTTACCAGCTGCCTTTCATCACAGAACAATATGTGGCCATTGGGATTCTGGCAACAGAACTTGGAAACTACATGGGAAAAACCTGCCATAATTTGTCAAAACTGACCCTTTCTTGCATCTCAGACTTAACTCTGGCAGTTTTCTCTCCCCTTGGAATGAAATCTCAAGGTTCTCCAGATGTATCTGAAGCAAAAAGAATCCCAAGAACTCAAACCTCAAGCCTACGAGCATTTGAAAAAGAGTGGTATTCCTCCGCTACAAAAGTCACTCCAAAGTGTCAAGATGCTAACCCGTCTAGTTACTGTAGGGAGAGGCAGCAGAGTGTTCATCTAATACCTGAAGAAATTAAGGGCGCCGCCCTGGTGGTTGCACTGGGCACAGAGACGCTGGTGACGCTCAGACCCAGGCTGTTTGTAGTGTTCATGCTGTTGGCCATGCTGACAACTGAAGAGGTGGTGCTGGTGGCAGAGGCTGAAGCAGCCGAGAAGGTGGCGGAGGGCTGAAGCGAGGCTGTGTTCTCAGCACTGGCATGCTGACAAAACAAAATCGAGGAAATGGGACTCGTGAGTGCTTGGAAGCGACATACCAAATTAAGAGTAAACTCACTTACAAATACAATCCAGAAATTACAAGGTCATATTTTCCCTATTATCCCAAGATTAATTCTAAATGCATTTAAAGTCTAATAATTCAGTGATGCTGATTAGTGCAGCTTCCCATGCCTGCACTGTAGATGACAGACAGCAGCCATTGGGGGTAACACATTCCACTTAAGTGGGCTAGAAAAATATCAATTTGAATGTTTTCATATAACACTTAAAGAAAATCCTGGCAAGCTCCCCCCCCCCCGGGGTGTGTGCACGTGCAAGCTTTCCCCCCTCCCCCAGTGTGTGTGCGCGCAATGTGCACACATACACATACAGATACAGATACATATGTATGAAACTTTGCAACAACCTCTGGGTAAAGAGGTGGAGAATAGAGACGAAGAATGAGACATACATTTTTCAGACATGGCCAACGTGTTAATCCATTTTGTGTGACTGTTTATTACAAAAGAGAGTTTCTATTTGTAGGGAGAAAGGGGAAGGGGAAGGAGGTCAAGTGAGTGGGTAGTGATAAAGTTGACAGCCCCCCCCCAAAAGCAACATACAGCAGAAAAAATCTCAAAAGGGGACACAAACAAGATGTATATTTTTACAATAATAAATTTAATATACTTTAAAAACAGAAACTCTTCAAAATAGTTATAATTTCATGTAAAATCTTTTTTTGTTCTTTATTATGTAGTAATACTGAGGTTTATTGATGATTAATCTCATAAATACTCTTTTTTTAAAGTTTAAAAAAGTTTTAAAGTTTAAAAGACCTATTAAGAGAGATCTTTTGGAGTTAGAACAAGTCTTCAGAATTTGAGAGGTTAACTGATGTGATTTGCTCAAAGTTATTCTTATCTAGGAACCTTACTGAAATTCTCTGTCAAAAACTACAAATTACTACCTCCAACACACACACTCTCTCTTTCTCTCATCAATTCCTAGATGGAAGAAAGGACACTTACTGTGTGTGAAGTACTTGATGACAGTGCTGATGATGCGGAGGAAAGGTTGTTCTGATGACTGGACAGTGAACTACAAAACAAAAATGAGTAATCATTTCATTGAGACCAGTCATTATGTGATAATGACTACTGAGGGGAGGGGATTCTGGGGGGTACAATTTTAAAATTTGTTTTAAGATTACACATAAGGCCAACTGGAAGCTTTGAAAACCACATGCTGGGCTCTAGTATGTCCCTCCCATTCTCTTACTTCAAAAGCTATTTCAGTACCAACAACATCTCTGAATCCCACCTGCACAGGTGATACACCCTCGCCAAAACCTGGAGGTCTAGATCACCAGGTGCTGGCAACCAGCATGAGTTAGCACGAAAAACTCTGGTTCCTGTAGCCCTCTGTTATCTTTTAGGTTAAAGAGTCAATTATACATGGAACTTGTCTCCATTTCTTCTACAAGATAGTTAGAAAAAAAGTTGGAGTATCTTTTTAAGAAAGAGAAATTAAGATTCTCTAGCTATTAGTACTTGTAAAGGGCAAGAAATATTTCATTTAAGGAAGTGTGTTCAAATAGTTAACCAAACAGACCATGTTCACAGGCTGGGTAATTAACCATAAATTCTAGGATTCAAATAAAATTCTTCTGCTTAACATGACAAAAAGGATCTGTGACAGAGAAGGCTAACCGTATGAAGGTGACATCGTTTTTCAAGTATTTCATCTCTCAAAATCCATTTCATTTCAACCTTGCTGATAAAAAGATTAAGTCTGAAAAGTGATCCTTAGAGTCAAGTTGGAAATGTGTTTGGAAGTAGGCATCATTGTCTTTTCATTTTTCATTTCTATTTTCATTTTCATTTCATTGTCAGTCCTCTCCTAAACCTAAGCTTGGATGAACATATAAAGTAGGCTGGGCACGATGGGAGTGGTTTGGATACTATTTGGCTGGTGGGAATCAAAGTGGAGGCCAGCACCAGCTTGAACTTGAAACATTCTCATGCTGAAAGAGGGGTCAGAATCCACTATCATCCACCAAAATGCAAGGGGGCACTTTTTCAAGTACATGCCTTTTTTCAGAGGAAATCTAAATAAAAGAATGGCTAAGGAAATTAGTTCATTTTATTAAGCCTGTTTTTTTCTGCTAAGGTACAAGCCAGGCAAAAACCTCACCCAAATAATTTATTGTAAAAATCTATCAACCATCAGATAAAAACACTTATTTCCTTTTTGGAAACAAATCTCTACATAGCTTTCCATCAGATCTCAACCCAACCTTCCCCGCCCCCTCCAGGCCCATATATCACACTATACCTGCTTAGCTGAGTGAGGGAGCCACTGGACAAGTCACAGGATTGGGGCAAGGAAGGCAATGTGGCTGTATGTGGGGTTGCTGAAGGCAGAAGCGTAGTACCGGAAGCTGTGCTTGGCAGAGAGCCCAGAGTCGGGAGAGAGGGAGAGGTTTCTGTTGTCTTCGGTGCTGTAACAGATGAAGTAGCTGCAACAAATTTATTTAAGTTGCAGAGAAATCCATAGAAGAATAGGGTTCTGCTAAGTTCAATAATGACAGCTACATATTCAACAGAGCCTTCACCTTCCAACTCCATCTCTACTATTACTTACGATATGCAACTGTGCTAAAATAAGACCGTTTACAGAATGTGACATTAGAAATTAGCGCCCTTCACTGTTGACTAATGCCTATCCTTATATAAACTTGTGGTGTGCAAGAGAAATCAACATTTTTTTGTCCACAATAAATTCCTTTTGACGAAGGGCCGGAGATGTCATACTTAAACCTGTATCTACAACACTACAGGGTCTTCTATTTTCAACCCACAGAATGGATCAAGAAATATTTCAGGGAAAGATCTTTATATCCCTCAGGCAGAACGTATATTTAAATTCACTGAGAGAGGAAATGCTCTTTCACGAAATGGTTGAAAAAGACTTACTAGAAATTGCTTACAGCCATTATTTGAGTCAGGTCTGTGATTTCATTAGTATAGCGAACTCTAGTTAAGGAAACATCATTAAACAAAGAAGGACAGCAAGTGCTCTGCAATGTTGTTCTAGAAAATTGCCTGGGATCCTGACTAAGGTTAAATGACTTGGTAGGCATCTGAGAAAGGACTTGAAAATCCAGGTCTCTACATTCTGAAGTTGTCTATCTGTTGTGTCTCACTTATATTACTAGTCTTACTTCCTTGGACACTTACTTGACTTTGCTGATTAATGCCTGGCACCTAAACTTAGCTGAGAAGTTGCCCAAAAAAACAATTTGGTATGCCATTACAGAACTTCCCAGACAATTAGCTCAAATATGTGCCTGAAAATAAAGCATGAGTCTTTTCATATTTCTCTGAATGGGAATTAGCATTCTTTCAGCAAGAAAAGTTTATGGTAGACACCAGAGATGCAAATTTGTATAGTAAAATCAGTCAAAATTTATAACTTTTCTTACAAAGCTTAAGTCAAGATATTCAAAAGGGAGAGAGGCAATAGAGAAGCTAACAATTTACAAAATATAGTTAAAAGAAAATGAAATAAGTAAATCTAAACAAAGTCTAGGATTAACAAATCCAACATGAACAAAACCCCCTCTATAACAGGATTAGTCTCAAATGCCCCCTCTTTTCAAGATGACTCCTTTTTAAAACCAAGTAAAATTCTGACATATTTAAAAGGTCAAAAAATCCTTTCCCATTAGGACATGTTGCAGGTTTTACTTGACAGTTTTCAGAGGGTTTTACACATATTAATTAATTTGATACTCACAAGAATCCTATTAAGACTAACTGTCCTTATTTTAAAGAAAAAGAAACTGAAGCGGAAGGACACTTCATGATAGCCACTAAAGTACTGGTAGTACAGAGATGCGATTTGGAATTAGTTAAGAGAAGCATAGTTTCTCTTACTTCTATGTAAAGTTCCATGAGTAGCTAGCTCTGCAAGCATTCTTGGGATTACGGTCCTTATCTCTTCAGTGTTTTGGTGTGATATAGTAAAAAGAAATCCAGCAGGACATGGGAATTAGAAGGAGCCACGTTTAAATTCTATTTCTGACAATGCCTACTTGTAACCTGTTAACCCCTCTGACCCTCAATCAACAAGTACTTATTAAATTAGAGCTTACTCTGTCTCAGATGCTGTGATAAGTACTGGCAAAAACAATCTCTCCTTTAAAGAAGCTCACATTTTAATAGGGGAGACCACACATATTCGGATGGGTACATACAAGATACAAATGGAGTCAATACAAAGTAACCTTAAGGGGAGGAATGAGCAACTGGAAGGGTATGGGCTGGAAACAACGAGGTTTGAAACTAGTCAAGAAAGAAGCCAGAGAGTCTAAGACAGACAGGTGATAAGAGAGTATTCTAGAAATAGGACATAGCCAGGGAAAAGCCAATGGTGATGGGAAACAAGGTTACAAATAAGGAAGTGGATGTAGGGCCAGTGTGGCTGGACATGAGAGCACATGGAAGGCAGTGAGACGGATGAAAAGGTTAAGATGAAGAAGCTTAAATTCCAAACAGAAGAGATTATAATTAATTCGAGAGATATTAGGGTCAGAATTTGAGAAGGCAATGATCTGGTCAGATTTACACTTTAGAAAAATCACTTTGGCAGGTACATGGAGGATGGATTAGTGCACAGAGAGATCTGAATCAGTGAGACCAGCTAGAAAACTGTTATAAATAGTCCAGGTGAAAAGTAACAAAGGTCTGTTGGTGGGGTGGGGGTGGAGAAGGTGAGGGAAGGTGGCTATATGAATGGGGAGAAGGGAATACAAGAGAATATAAAAATGGAGAGAAAAAAACACACCAAGATTTTGCAACTAATTATCAATAAATACAGGGTGAGGGTGCAGAGCAGAGAATGACTCCAAAGTTGGGAATCTGAGTGACTGGAATTATGGTGCCAGTAATTGGGAAACTGGTTAGAGGGATGGAGTTTGGGGGGAAAAGGACATGTTTAGTTCAAGAGGTCTCTCACACATCCAATTTGAAATGTCTAACAGGGAACAACAGGTAACATCACTGATTAAATCTCAAGGAAGAGACTATGGCTGAACAATCATTTGCATAAAGATAGTAAATGAATCTATGGGAGCTGATAGGATCATCAAGTACAAGGATAGAGAAAGAAAAGGAGCACAGCCTTGGGATATAAACAGTGACTAGATGTGATGTGATTGAAGATCTAATAGAAGCCTGAGGAATGTTCAAGCAAGTAGGAAAACTAGGAGCAACATCACAAAGATCTAGACTTAGTGGGTGTGAAATAGATGAAGATCCAGCAGGAGACTCAGGAGTGTTTAGATAGGTAGGAAAACCTAAAACTCAGAGGAGTGAATATTCAGGAGAAGGTGGTTAAAGTGTCAAATGCTGTGTACTAAAGAAAGAAGAGGATTGAGGAGCCAAGTGATTTGGCAATCAGGAGGACATTAATAAATTTGGAGAAAGGGGCCATAGCTGAGTGATGAGGCTGGAAGCCAGATTACAGAAAATTTAGAAGTGAAGTGAGGAGGAAGAACCTAGTATAGCTGGGTTTCCTCAAGGAGTCTGGCTGAGAAAAGGAAAAAAGATAAGTAAAACAACGGCTGAGGAGGAAGGTAGGTTCTAGTGAGGCTTTTCTCCTTCTTAAAAAGATGTAGGAAACTTTGGGCATCTGCCCAAAGGAACAAACAGATTAGAGACTGAGGTCAGAGAAGATAACAATGGGGAAGTGGGACAGCAGAAGATGGCATTAAGAATACACACAAGGGTCTCAATTTCCTCATATATAAAATAGAATTGTTGTGAGGGGAAAATAAAGAGTTTAAGGAAAGTGCTGTGTAAATCTTAAAGCATTATGGATCAGACATTTATTACTCCCACTAGATCAGTACCAGTCACACTATAATTTAGTGTTTACCAAGCTCTGTAATGTCAAATTAAGAGTTCCCCACTTGTTGCCAGCATTTGAATACTGTTCTCTGTGGTCAACAAGTCAATAGGAGCCTTCAAATGCTTTAGCTGCTGTTCTCCTGAGGGGAACACTGACCAGCCACTTAACACGAACGTGTGCAGGGTAGATCATTTATGATGGAAAAGCTGGGAAATCAGTGTGATGTGGTGGAGAAAGCCCTAGCTTTCAAATGCACCCATGGGACTTCATTTCTCTAGGTCTCTCAGTTTCACTGTTAGGAAAATGAGAGAAATAGGGGAGATGACCTCTGAGGTGCCATCCAGGGCCTCAGTCTTTCAAGTTTGGTAAATATGTGCCTTATTAATGAGTCTGTGCTAAAGAAAGATTTAAACCCGGGACCACATAATCAAATGGATAATGCCTTTCTTTTTAAGGAAGTGTTCACAGTAAACTGGATTAAATTAAATTCTTTGCAATTCAATTTTGTTAAATACAGATTAGTTTCTTTTTATAAAACAATGAGCTCTGCACAAAATAGATTTTTTTGAATTTTAGTCATATTACAACGGTTCAGAAATATTTTACTGGTAGTTTTATTTTGGAATAAAGAAATGGTAAATGGAATAATTCCATTTTTATAGACTGTAATGGTGGTCAATACACCATCTACAACTACGACTATTCTTCAGAGCAATTTTGAACATAGTCTGCAAACCATATAAAACTGAAACACAGAGGGGATATTTAATCCTTGATTTCCTTAGTTTTTGTTGGGGAGGGAGTGTCCTATTTTGCACAGCTATGAAATGTTCCACTAGAAGGCAGGAATTTGGTTCGAAAAACATGGAGAACACCAGTGCTGTGAAGTAAATGTCACCCTGAGATCAGTGCATAAGCTGTGCCAGTACTACAATTGGAATTATAACCATGAAGGAACTTTTCAGGGGGCTTGTAATGCAATGGATTCTTTCTGGACAGCAATCAACTAACAGTGGGCTTTTAATAGAACCTGCTTTTCAGGCTCCATTCAAAGAACACGAGGCAACACACAACAGATGGTGACCTCAATCAATCAACCAACAAGTATTTACTAAGTACTTAGCTCAAAAAGCTCTGCTAAGTGCTAGGAACATACAGGAAGAAATGAAAGTCCTTGCTCACAAGAATCTTACGTTGTATTAGAAGAGACAATGTGCACATACATGATCTAGGATTCAGGGATGGAGAACCTTCGGCCTCCAGGCCACATGTGGCCCTCTAGGTCTTCAAGTGCAGCCCTCTGACCCCAAACTTCAGGCCAAAGGTTCAACACCCACGACAAGATATATACAAAACAGAAAGTTACTGCAAATGGGAGGGAACTGACACCAAAGGCTTCAGTGGACGCTCTGAACTGAGATTACAGGAAATCAGGTGTACAGTTCAACTGCTCTAAATTTCTTTCCATGCCTTACTTATTCCCTCACTTTCAATATATAATTAACTGCTAAGGTCTTACAATATCTTTTCCTCTGTCTACTCATCAGTTTGGGAGCTAGGTGGCAAAGTGGGTAGAGTGCCAGGCCTAGAGTCAGAAAGACATGAGTTCAAATCCAGCCTCACACACTTAATAGCAGTATGGCCCTGGGCAAGTCAGTTAAGAACCCCATTTGCCTCAGTCTCCTCATCTGGAGAATGAAATGGCAAACCACTCCAGTCTCTTTGCCAAGAAAACCTTGAATGGGGTCACAAAGAGTCAGACAGAAATGAAACAACCAAGCTCCTCAATTTCCACTGCCACTATTCCCACATCAGGCCCTCCTCATGTCTCTTCTGAACCACTGCAATAGCTTCATGTGCACTGCTAAACATATTTTCCTAAAGCAAAATTCTGATCATGCTGTTCTTGTGCTAAAAGGCATTCAAATGCTTCCCCTACTGCCTGCCAAATAAAGCCTAAATTCCTTAATCTTACATTAAGATAACAAGCTTAATCAAGCTCCTTTTCCAGCCTCATCTCTACTACTGCCTGACACAGGTTGTTATCCTCAAATGTAAGCTCTGTGGCTGGGGATGTCATCTCCTTTTAGAATGCCCTAGCTCCCTAAAAACTTACCTATCCCACCGGGTACAGCTCAAATGCCACCTAATTCTTGAAATCTACTCCAAACCTGTCAAACACTCTCCATAATTATAATGCTTATTCCAGTTTTGTTATTTAATGTATTATTTATGCGCTTTAAAAATTCCCACGATATTGTAGACTCTGTGAAGGGAGCGATTAAGCCTTCCTTATTCACCTTCACATGTCCCGTAAGCCTTAATAGATGGCACAAAGAGTTTAAAATATGTTTGATGAATTAATGAATCTGATTTACAGGGCACAATTAACAACATAATTTAAAAAGTAATGTAAGGAAAGCAGACTCCACTGTTTTCAAAAGAAAATATAAATAAAATATGTGGTTATTTAAACCCATCTCACAATTCTCAAAAGATTGAAAAGCACATCAGGATTTCAACAAGCCTGAAAAAATCAGTACCACCTTACAATAGGTAATGAAGGAAATTTAAATAATTTTCCTCTCTTTTTTTTGGGGGGGGAGGCTAGGCAATGGGGTTAAGTGACTTGCCCAGGGTCACACAGGTAGTCAGTGTTATATGTCTGAGGCCACATTTGAACTCAGGTCCTCCTAAATCCAGGGCCGGTACTCTATCCACTGCCCCACCTAGCTGCCCCCAAATAATTTTTCTATAATTAAATATAACACCTTATACATAAAAACCAGAAATACTGATGTCAAATCCATATTTCAAGTGCACTGTATGAAGAAAAAAGAGAACAGCCCGTGAATATAAGGGGGACACTTTATGCTCTATATATTAACTTCCAATTAATCTTATTCATAACCAAAAAACCCAAAGAAATAAAGTATATTTGTTGATTCAAATGTACTACTGACAAAATTTTTTTGTTGAAAGAAATGTATAGTTTTCAAAATGTTAGAAATAAAAGATCCATAAACAGGTAGAATTTTTGACAAGAAATCTAGGTATTTTCTATACTTGTTTGAAAATGAGAGAGGAGAGAAAGGTAAGAGGAAGCAGAAGAAAATGGCATGAAGCTAGATAATTTCTAATGTCAGAAACAAAAAAGAACAGGCAAGATAAATTTTAGTTGGGTAACCATAACTGGACATGAAAAAAAGTAAATGAACGTAGTAACCTAGTGTTTAATAAACACAATGATCCAAGCTTTCACGACAAAAACTGCCTTGGAAAACTAGAAAGTTGTTTGGCAGAAAACTACACATAGATCAACATCTCACAATAGACACCAAGATAAGGTCAAACTGGGTGCATAAGTTAGACATAAAGGCAAATATCATAAGCAAATTAGGAGAACATGGAAAAATTTCCCTATTAGATTCATGGATAAAGGAAGAGTTTATTATGACCAAAGAAGAGATAGATAGGATCTTGGCAGAGAATCTTGACTACGTTAAATTAAAAAGCTTTTGCACAAACAAATTCAATGCACCTAAGACTAGAAGGAAGGCAAAAACCCGGGGGGAAATTTTCCAGCAATTTCCCAGATAAAGGCCTCATGTTTCAAATATATATAGGGAGCTGAGTCAAATTTATAAAAACAAAAGCCATTTCCCAACTGATAAAATGGTCAAAAGATGTGAACAGGCAGTTTTCAGAAGAGGAAATAAAAGCTATCTAAGGTATTAATGACTGTGATAGAATACTATTGTGCTCTTAACAATGATGAGGGGGATGGTTTCAGAAAAACCTGGGAAGACCTATACAAACTGATACAAAGTGAAGTGAGCAAAACCAGGAGAATACCATACACAGTAAAGGCAATATTGTAAGGAAGATCAACTGTAAAAGACTTAGCTACTCAGATCAATACAATGATCCAAGAGAATTCTGAAACGACTCATATTCAAAAATGCTATCTATACTTCTAGGGCTATATCCCAAAGAAATGATACAAATGGGAAAAGGACCCAAATGTACAAAAATATTTATAGCAGCTCTTTTTGTGGTGGCAAAGAATTGGAAATTAAAAGGATGCCAATCAATTGGGGAATGTCTGAGCAAGTTGTGGTATATGAATGTAATGGAATACTACTGTGCTGTAAGAAATGATGAACAGGCTGACTTCAGAAAAACCTGGAAAGACTTGTATGGTCTGATGCTGAGTGAAGTGAGCAGAACCAAGAGAATGTTGTACACAGTAAGAGCCACGTTGTGCGATGACTAACACCGATAAACTTAATTCTTCCCAGCAAGACAAGGATCTAAGACATCTCCAAAGGCCTCGTGATGGAAAATGCTATCCACATCCAAAGAAAGAACTATGGAGTTTGAAGGCAGATCGAAGCATACTATTTGCTATTTTTTTTTCCTTCTGTTGAATTTTGTTTCTTCCCTCTGGTGGTTCCTCCTATTGGTTCTAATTCTTACTTACAACACCATTAATGTGAAAATATGTTTAATAGGAATGTATATGTATAGCCTATATCAGATTGTGCACCATCTTGGGGAGGGTGGTGGAGAGGAAGGGGGAGAAAAATTTTAAATTCAAAAGCATATGGAAGTGATTGTTGATAAATCAAAAGAAATTTTAAAAAAATGCTATACATCTCAAGAGAACTGATGAACTCCTGAAAGAAGAATGAAGTATAATTTTTTCACTTCATTTTTCTTGCAACATGGTAACATGCAACATCCACCCTGAGGAGCAATCTCATCCCCTTTTCTGATTGTTCTTATTTCTAATGTAGCTTAACACCCCCCCCCAAAAAAACCAACAATCCCCCTCAGAAAAAAACAACAGACACAAAACCCCATATTATCCTTTTTTGGTTGTCTTTAGTTTTCCTCATCAGCCTTGGCTCACTCTGAAATTTGGTATTACTGATACTAGTCTTGTGGAAATTTTGCTTCCACCCACTACTTGTTCTTTCTTCGATCTTCTAAATATTATTTAAAAATCTAAATCGGTTAGGAAGTTCCCTGTTAATTTATATAGGTCACTTGAGACAACTCCCCCTGCAAGTTGTTTTCTTTCTGTGACTCAAAAAATCCATATATGAATGCTTCCCATCCTTCCAGGCTGACTTCAATTGTAGAATTTTAAGCCATCAGATCCTTTCTATTGTTTCTCTGAGCAATGAGAAATCTGCTCTCCTTAAACCTTGGGTAGGTAGCAGATATTCTAGCATTACAGAAAGAATAGATATTGTGTTAAATAAATGTTTGCTTAGTAGTAGTGGCAGTAGCAGTCACAGTATACTGGTGACAATATTGCTGCTGTCTCAGCATCTAATTCCCTCTACCATTCATGTTTGCTTTGCTCCCACTCCTCGATTCCTCAAATGTGTATTTCTATAAACATATAAGGAAGGTGTGCCCTATAGTCTCCCCTTTATGAACTTTGCTTAAAAAAAAACTTTTTAAAAAAAACCTCTTATTTCTCTAGAATAAGTCCTATCTTTCCAGAGCAATTTTCCAGTCACTAGTTTCATTCCCAGGCATCTTCCCATTAGAGGTTTCTGATATGTGTATAGAGATCTCAAAGGTCATGGGCTTTATAAGCACTGGCTTCCTTAGATTTTAGATGACTGTGAACATCAGGTGTTTCTCTTATTTCTCTTCCCATAATAAGGGCTCACACCAAGTGGCATAAGCTTGTTGCACCTAACCTAGGTCATTTCCTATTTCCTCCTTTCCAGTTAAATGTCATTTTGATTAGATTTGCAAGATTCCAGGTAAATAAATTCTCAAGTTCTTGGTATACTTCATCCCTAAACAGAAGCTCACTCTAACTGTATTTTACATCTTGGTCCAAAACCCTTAATTCTCCTCTGAGACATCTATTTTCCCCAGCTATTCACTTCACAATTCTGCCCCATTTTCTCTGAAAGTCTTTGCGGCCTTCAAATAGCAACAGCAATGCAAATATCACCAGATCCTTTAAGATCTTCAGCTTCTTCCCCAAGCCTTCTTAAAATCTTTGGCAATGCTTTCTAGATTCCTTATGGCAGTATCATTTATGACCAAATGAATCATTAAAAGTAGCTGGCAATTGCAACTTATTTTTTATTTCCTTCTTGTTTTTAGGTGGACAGCACTGGCCCCAGTGACCTGAATAATTACTAACGGCCAAGTCCAAAGGCCCCTAATATCTTCCTCATCTTTTAGAAATCAGTAAACATCTTCTTGACCTTTCAACTAACATAAAAAGTTGGGTCTCTTTCTAGAAGAATTAACTCCTCCAAAGGGAAGCATCACAGAAAAGACACACAAAGTTTTACAGGGAACATGTTTTCTACAATTACTTGACAATGGGTGACAAGATCACCACATCATAAATCAAATGATTAGCTCTGAAGTCAATCTGTGTAGTCCTGAGGAAATCTGGCATCAGAAAAAGCATTCTGTATACTTACTGTCTAGAGTTTGCTGAGTTCGAACACCACCATGTCCATTCTGCATCGGAAGGAAAAGAGGACAAGTAAAAATTAACTTTGAAGCTATAGGAGCAGCATAAGGAATATCAACAATAATTAATTTAATAAGTAATTTATCAAATAAAGGGGAGAATGGAGGGCAGAGTTCCCTTGAACATGAATGATACTAACAATTAATGTAACAGCACAGATTATATAAAAATGAACACTGCATCATTTAAGACTAATTAAAAGTAGATTATAAGGTACTAATACAAATAACTTAATTCACTAAATGGTACTCTCAAATTTTTTTATGATCCAGGCAAGACTTATAGCGAGCAAAATGCTAGGAAATAAAAACAGAACACATTAACTACAAAGAACAGAAATTTAACATGCAGGCAGTATATTCCAAGCTTCTGTGTCAGAATCCTAATGGCAAAATATACAATTACTCCAATGACTAGGGTCATCAGCAATACAACAAACTCAAAGCTACTATCATATGAGTATCAACCTGGGAGATGTTTCCAGAGTTCAAAAGAGACATCCTTAAAGTAATGATTGTGATTGCAAAGCATCACAAATTACAGATAAGAACTGAGTTAGTCTCCAAAGAAACTATAAAACTGAAAACAACAATAACAAATATACTTATGGTAAATAGCTATATTATCATAAGGAGAGAAAAATACCTTATCCCTCCCCCCCCACTTAAGTTTATTCAGAGTAAATGGAACTATTTCCTAGAGTAAGAAACCAATTTAACTAATACGTAACCTAACATACTTAATCAGAATCTTACAAAGGGAAATGTCACATACTTCTATTGATTATACTGAACTGATTAAGTAAAGCATATTTTCTTTTTCCAAAAGTGAAAATAAAGGATGAAGAAAAGAACTACAGGAAAAAATTAAAACCTTTTAGAACTAAGTTATAATCTTTTGGTAGGATAGGAAGATTCCTATTATTTAACATTTCTAGTTTCTTCCCCTCCCCACATTTAAGGATGAGAATCCTTGACTTAATTTTTAACACAATAATCTAATCTTTAATTCATCTTTATATTTTCTATATAGCTTGCTTCTACATCTCATGTTCTCTTCATTTCCCTACAACAAAAAAAGTGGAGAAAGAAAAGATTATCGATTTTCCAGAAGAAAAAAATGGAGAAATAGGCACATGGGCTCCTATCGTTAGGTACGCACTCTTATAAAAGTCAGTCAATAAGCATTTATTAAATACCTACTACGTGCCAGGCACTGTGGATACTCAAGGAGCTAACAGTGTAATGGAAGGTGAGCACTGTGTACTTTCTGAATTTGTTATTAACCCCAGTATTATATTATAAGCTGCAGGAGAACAGGAACTATCTAAACTATGCTGCATTTCTCATTCTGATAAACATAGCTTAGTGTCACACAGGAGCAAAACAAATCACCTATATTTAATATCACAAGTCAAATCACTTAACAAACTCTACTCTAGAAAAAAAAAACAACCTGTAGCAGCTGCTACAGCTGAGAGCCATCTCAAGTATATCTAGTAAATAGTAAGTATTCCTCCTCGGATAAGCAACCAATTCAATTCAAACATCTGTTAGGCATAGAATTGTGGACATATTTAATTGTATTTTCCACTAGACACCTGAAAGAAATCCCAAAGTCACCATCCTTGACTTTGGAAAAAATTGTTTTAAAATGCTTACAGGGGGACTCTTGGGACCAAAAGGATATCCATGCATCAGAGGAACACTTGATTCAGGTGGTACTCTGGGCATGTCTGAGTTTCTGGCTATCTCATAAAAAAACAACAACCCTACAAAGAAGATTGATCGGAGAGGAGAGATAAAAGGGCAGAAGGGATTCCTAATCGCAGAGGGAAAAAAAAAAGAGGTTATTACTAGATGGTTATTCTCAGTATATACTACTAGATTTCTTAAACTGTGTTTCAAAGATGTAATGGCAAATAAACACATACTCCTATTATTTACTAATCTTTTCTCATTAAGGTATTATTTTTATATTCTTCTATTAATAATAAAATTCAACTATCACCTTTACATTATATGGTGCTATTAATAGTTTGAAAACCACTAGACTTGCATATTTAAGCCAAGGAATGCTAGAAAGTCTATGTGCAAGATGTTAAGGAAATACAAAGATGAAACATGATATCATCCCCACCCTCAAGCCATTTACCATCTAATGGCCCAAATGGCAAGGTTAAAGAGATGTACCTAAGTCAAAAGTATACATCTAAATAAAATTCTATGAGGAGTCTGGAGAAAAAATCATTTGCAGCAGCATAATATATCAGAGAAGGCTTAATGGAGGATGTCACATCAGATGTGAACCTTAAGGGTAGGGAAGGATTTCAATTGGTGTAAATGAAGGATGGAAGAGGTAGATTTCATTTCAAACAGGAGTTATTAATATAAGAAAGGGAATGGAGGAAGGAAATAACAGTTTAATTTAGATGAAGCACAAAATAAATTAAACACACACAGTGAGAACTAAGATAAGTAAGGTCAGTTAGAGCTAGATAATGAGAGGGGAGGGTTCTTGATTTTCACAATAAGGAGGCTATAATATATTTGGAAAGCAATGGGGAGTGATTAAAGGTTTTTGAGTCAAGGGGCAGCCATAACATCAATGATACATTAGAAAGATTAAGTGGGCAGAGGGCTAAAATATTATAAAAGGGAAGACATTAGAGGAAGGAAGGAATAGGTAGGAGGCCATTATATGAAATCAGCCAAGAAAGTCTAAACTAGAGGAAAACATGGCAAGGATACATAAAATTTAAACTGACAGAATGTAGAAACTGAATGGATGGATGTAGGGGGTTAAGGAGAGGGAAAAAGAAAAGATGACTAAAATTCCAACCTGAATGACTGACAAAATGGTGACACCACCAACAAAAACTAAGAAGAGAAACAGGTTTGGGGAAGGCAGCAAGTTCAACTTTGGACAAACATGAATTTAAAATGCCAGCAGGACATAGAGAAATATGGAGAAGATAGCTGAAGACGCAGGAACACTGTTTAAGGGAAAGGTGACAACAGAAATAGAGATTGACCCACTGGCAAAGAAGTGAAAATTGAAGCCATGGCTAGAAATAAGATTGCCATAGGAAGGAATGTAAAGAAAAAGAAGGTAGAGGATAGAGCCTTGGAGGATATCTAGAAGTAGGGATTAGAATGAGAATTAAGATACTAGTAAAGGAGAAAAGCGGCTTAAGAGGTAAGTAACTATGAGTGGACAGTGTCAAAAAAAACCAAAGGGTGAGAGAGTATTAAAAATGGTAAGCTGAAGACAGTCCAAAGCTGTAGAAATATCAAGGAGCAAAAGGACAGAGAAAACATCACTGGATTTGGCAATTAAGAGGTCTTTGACTTGGGACAGAGCTGCTTAAATACGATGTGACAGGAAATATAGAATGCAAAGGAGTGAATGGGCAATGAGTAAGTATCACCATGTATATACAATATATACAAATCTTTTTTAAAATTTTACTATTTTTTGGTTACATTTGAGTTCCAAGCCTATTCTGTCCTTCACTCCCAACTCTGAACTAGAGAAAGCCAATATTTGAAACAGATATCAGTTCCTTCTCTGGAGGCAGTATAGCATCTTCCTTCATAGGTCTTTTGTAGTCGATCTTAATATTCATATAACTCAGAATAGCTTAGTCATTCAATATACAGGAATTTGATAGAGAAGGAAAAGGGGGATGATAGAATGAGGGGTAAACAGAATCAAAGAACTATTTTTTTTTAAATGACTGGTAGACCCAAATACGATTGTAGGCTAAGGGAAAGTGTGAGAATGTTTGGAGAAGCATGAAGAGAGAGAGGGAACAATTGATGGAAGGAGACTGAAGGGGACTGAACTCAAACACACCAGTGCAAAGGACAAGTCAAAGTAGATTTGTAGAGCACTGGCATAGAGGTACTAAGTGAACTCATGTCAAATGATCTTTGATACTCTTAATAAGGGCCTCACCAAAAAAGGCCCAATTATGCAATCTAAGTACAAGTAAAGACACATAGTATCAATAAACCCAAAAGTCCATACACAGAAAAGAATATTTGAATAACATGTTAGGGAAAATATTTAGAGGTCCAAATTCATACATAAAATTACAAAAATCTAATTCAATTGCACATTTATTAAAACATCTACTGTGTGTAAGGCATAGAGATACAAAGATAAAAACAAAAAACATCCCCAACATCCAAGGACCTTATATTTTATTGAGGGATACAGTATATAAATAAATTTGGAATGGCAGGCTACAGCCACACACTCTCTCATTGTATATAATGTATACACCCCCCCCCCCGTTTTAGGAACATTAGCATGATAGTTATTTGCAAGATAGATTACAGAGGATAAGGGGAGAGAGTAAAAACATGGAGTCTAATTAGGATACTATAGTAGTTCAGGTGAGAGGTGATAGAGGTTTGAATAAGGGTGATGGCTGAGTAAATGGAAAGGAGGAGACATGTAAGAAAGGGATGTTATGGAAGTAAAATGGGCAAGACTTGTTACCTGAAAAGGGAGTGGATGAAAGGGGAACAAGGAAAAGGAAGAGTCATGGATGACTCTGAGGTGACTGGAAATATGTCACCTTCACCCAAAATAAGGAAGTTTGTAGGAGGGGCATATTTAGGGGGAGAAGATGAATTCCATTTTGGATTGAGTTTCAGATATCTAAGGAACAAGCATGTAGAGATGTTCAACAGGCCAAGAAAGCTGAAAAGATACTTACTGTGACAGCAATAGAAGTTGTTTCAGATGGAGCCATGGAGCTTTGGTATGCTATCCTGCTATGCACAGAATTCTGGTCGTAGGAGGAAGATGTTGTAACGGGACTAGTGCTCTGAGATGAGTTGGTCAAACTGGAAGAGGTGATGACGGAGGTTGTATAGGTCGACTCCTGTACTGTATTGGATATTGGCAAAGAGGTATTCAAAGGATCACTGGAAAAAGTAAAAGTTATTTATCATCTCAGTAAATAAATGTCATCTCAGATTCCTTCATGAAATACCACCACCTTATTACTTTAACTGGTTAGTCATATTCTAAAATCACTTAAATATTGTGCTTAACTACAATATTACATTTAAATACAGAGAAATTATCATGGTCCTCTCCAAAGCCATTTTACCTTAAATATTTTCAGTTCTTGGGGATGGGGAAAAGGAACTAGATTTTAATCTGATTGAGTTATAATGACTTAGTGCTCTCTCAATGAGGTAGAATCTAGATGGGTTTAAGTTTTTCTTTTCATTGCACATCCCTGAGCAAGTTTCCTAATAGTTTCCCAGTTAGAAAGAGGGCATAAGCTAACTTTGATCTCTGTCACCTGGGGAATAGGATGGGTGTTAATTTTAAAAGTACTAAACACATACCAAATATAATTGTTTTTAAAAATAGTCCAATAAAAAAGAGGCTTGACAAATCAGTCACATCCCTCCCTCAGCCCTGCATATTAAGGTACTAAGCTCCCCCATTACTGCCAATTGATCAAGTTGTAACTATATGATCAACTGTCAGGGATAACATAGAAGGTATTCCTTTATGAGGTAGGTGGTTAAACTAGATGGACTTAAAGTGTTTTCACTTTCAAGAGACAAGAGATGGACTCAAAATTATGATTCAACATTGAAATCTTCAAAAAGGCTTAAATAAAAACTCTGAAGAGAGGAGGAAAAAACCCTAAGGCCTCCATGGCACAGAACTGAGGGAACATAGCAAAAACAAGAAGGTTCAATTCAGCAGTACTTTTCCAAGGCTAGAATACACTGCTGGTTAAACTGATGGAATGACAAGATCTGTTGTACCCTCTGTATTTGGTTCTTATACCAGGGTGCTAACACATTGGTCCCATCAATCTCACATCATACCAAGTGTTCTGTTAGTATCATGATAAAAAGCTAAAATAAGAAAAAGATTCTTTTGTTCACTCTGAGCTGATTCTATTTTCTCTTACAGATACTCTATTCGCTTTGCTAGCAATCTGTCATTACTGCCACTGTTTGTCATCAACAACTGTGCTGCCTTGCAAGTTTTCTTTTGTTTCCCCCAATTCCTCTTAGATCTTCACCATACATTTGTTCATTTTTCTTAACTGTGGAGTGTAAAATTATAGAGGAAATGTGGCACTGTGGACAGAGAGCAATTATCAAAATCAGGAAGACAAAGGTGTAAGCCCCATCTCTTACACATTTTGGTTGGACAACCCCAGGCAGGTCATTTAACCTCTCAGAAAAAAGTTGCAGAGCAGATGCTGATCTGATTGATGGAGGGAAGTTACCACACAAGGAGTTCCTTACACCAATGAAATCAAGGTTAAAAAAAGTGGTTCCTCTTTAACTTGTATTCCCTAAAAATGCAATCCCTTTTCAGGAAACTCCCTTTCTTCACTCTAATACTATCCAAATTGCTTTACCTTCGTTTAGAAACTAAAGGCATAATAATGAATGGCATAGATGTTTGGTTCTGACTTTAGCATAACTAATAACTATCTAGTGAACTTCTCCATGAAAAACTCATAGGAGAGGGTTCTAAATACACAGGGCATGTTGTGAGAATGAAAAACAGAGTGTCCCCCCCCCCCATCATTTGGATAAGATTTCTATACCGAACGCCTCCCAAAGACAGAGTACAAATAAATACACACAAGTATGTGTCCCCTTATCTACTACTGCGCTGCTACCATGTAACTTATTTCTCTTCTCCTATCCTAAAGGGAAAAATCACCTTCTCATCTTTGATGAGTTATTGAAAGGTTAAATTATATCTTTTTAGGACTCTAACTTTCCACCATCCTTATATGGAATTCCTTCTGTAAGATGCATCATTTCTACCTTCTACATGACTGTTGCCACAAAACACATATTTCTTCATGTTCTCTTGAAATAGGATGCATGAATCCAGTAAGCAGACTTGGCTAAAATGTTCATGTTTCCATTCCAAAGCAAGCGTATCTTAAAAAAAAAAAGCAAGCATTCCTTCTTCACTTTGATTTGAACTTATATATATATATTTAATCAGAGGAATTTTGTGGTTGTAAAAAAAAAAAGATATTAAAACACATGCCTAAAAAAAGGCTGGTTAAAGAAATTTTTGGGAGGTAGGAGATACTACTGAATACAACGAAACTTTAATTTTATTCCTCTTCCCTCCCAAGAATCTGTTTTCTTTCATAGAGCAGCGAAACAAGCCTGCTTACTCTCAAAGTCCCATTGTCAAGAGGCAACTCCTTCAACTCCCAATTCACAAAACTGTCTCCTTTCCATGAGCCATTCTGACTCAATTGTGTTCATACCTTACAGAAACTGAAAATAACATTCAACAGCCTAAAACATAGAAAAGAGCAATTGTATACCTTACAGGTTTTGGATACAAGCTGATCTGGGCCTGATTACTATTTTCATTGCTCAAAGTTGATCCAAATTCAGGGAGAGAAGGTTCTGATCCAAATTCCAGAGCTCCAAACTGAACATTTAACCCTGTAACATCTGCTGATCCTGGCATTTCCACTGCAGATGCAGGGATCTGTAAGGGGAAAACATATATTTTTCATGTTCAGAGCTTAGCATATTTTTCAGTCTCAAGAGCTTTTTCCTGCATACCGAGAGTCCTTATATGTCACTGGACGCTGATGGGGAAGTCTAAGGTAAGAAAGGGAGAAATGGGGTTGGGGAGAGGGAAGAAAAATGCACAGTACGCAGACTGTCAGTGACACCATTACCAAAAAGATAACTACCCTTCCTTTAGCTGCACATAATTTTGCACTGAAGTTCTCAGAAAGGAACTACTTCCTACGGATAATATGAATATATCCACTTCCATCAGTAGGTAAGTAAATAGATGCTAAGCTAGTTCTTTACTTATGTAAAAAGTCTCCAGCATTTAGTAGCTGCCACCTTTCATTTTTACTTTTAGGAAAAAGTAGTTCAAAAAGTTAATTCAATAAAAAACAAATATATTTTTACATGGTACAATAAGATATGTGCATAAAAATATTTAATCAACAATTTATAAAGACAAAATGTTCAATTTTCAATTTTTTCCTCATTGTTAAGTCTGCCTCTGGTAAATATAACTTGTGGGTAGGTTACTCACCTTGGAAGATGGGGGTACTCTCCGTTTTGGGGGTTTGATCTGTTTTGGCTGAGTCTGCTGGGCAGACACTGCTTGGTTTTCTGTAGATATGCTGGGGAGCTGCAGCATTTTGTTCACAGCTGTGGCATTGTCTCTGGAGTTTTCTCGGAGTTTTACCTGGGAGGAGAAGTTCTCCATCCCAGGAGGAGGAACAGGGATAGGCTGGGTCTGGTGTTGCTGTCGCTGGCTCAACTGGCTCAGAACTGGGGATGGCTCAGGTTGAGATTTGAAGTCTATTAAATATGCAGAAAGAAAAAAGTCCAGCATATAATCAGCATTCAGTTACTCAAAAGCTGCTCATTTGTTTGTGCTATTCTTTCTGCCACTATCATGTAAAACTGAGATATGGAAAAATAATTATTCCATCCCACCTTCTAATTCAGTCAATCTAGTAGTTAATTTATGTTTTTATATTTGTCTACCTAATTTTCACATAAATGACATGACAATAACATGCACTTCCATGGCAAGGTTTTCTTCCACACATAGTAGGGAAAAGGTCCATGTTAAAGAATACTGGATCACTTCAAAAGAATATCTGAAGACTTGTATGAAGAGAGATACCTCAAATTATAGCTATATAAGTGAAAATATTAAATAGCCACAAAATCTAGGTTAAATTCAATGAGTGGTATTGGTACCACCAACTTGGTTATAGAAAAACAAAACAAAACACACCATACCATCTTCATTAAAATTATTTAAGACTACCTTTGATGTTTTCATGGTACTCCCTATGATGCCAGTGTTTGAAATTGCAATTCAGATCATTAAATAAAACTTTTAACATGTAGTACAGTTTAAATGCTACCTAGATACAGAAAGAATTTTAATTTACAGAAAGCACAAGAGCATGTGGAAACCAGAGGAGAACTAGTTTAAATCTTCCAGTTGTGAAGAAAAATCCCAGATCGGGAGCAAAATTTAAAAAAGCCCCTCCAAGTTCAAGAAAAACAATACTAAGACTTTCAAATTGCTCTACTCTTCCTCCCATCTTTTCTATAATGTACAATCCAAAACATCAAAATGAGCTGTCTGAATGACATTTTTATAAGTAGCCATAGCCCAGGGCTTAGAATACTTCACCAAAATTATGAACAAGCTGAGTATGACATACCAATGGTTATTGTAGGGACTGATACTCATCATTTCATAATGCCTAGTATTGTATTCTGCGACCCTTCTTCCTATACGTAAAAGGATGTGTTTGCTTAGAATTTTAAAACTATAATGTAATCCTTCCTCATACTGGGGAATATAAATGAATTGTTATTCCTTGTTAAAGAATACGCATCTCCACACACACATTTATATATTTCATAGCTATAATAATAATAATAAGTAATGCCTTTCTCTCCTTAGCCAGAAAAAAAAAAGGCCGGGGCAGGGGGGAGAGGAAGATATTTTGCCAATACAATTATTTTTAAAATCTCGAACAAAAACTGTTCCCTTTAATTTAGTATAAAATTCTGTGGTTGTATTTGCTATGTACTATTATTTCTATAGTATCTGTGTAATTCAATGTAATTCAACCAATGATAAGTATCATGTTTCTCACCACTGAAAGTATGACAAGGGTTGAGCTGATTATCTGTAATAGAAAATTCATTCACTTACCAAACTGATTCATTATAGAGGACTGGGGAACTGGGGGCTTAAGATCCCAGGTTGAAGTGGTTGTAGGAGGACTAGTGCTGTTTTGCTGTGAACTCTGCGTGCTGAACTGGCCCAAACTTGGAGATTTCAACTGCTCCAAGATCTGGGAACCAGTAGAGTTTGCCATCTTTGATGACCCAAGCTCTCCAAATCCAGAACCAAGAACTGAAGACTGTATAGAGGGGGAAGAAAAAAGGACTTTCTCAAGAAGGAAGAATTTCTATGTGAGATGTGAAATAGACAAGTTTTCATCAATATTTCAAAACCTGAAATTCAACTCATCACTATTTTTGAAACCAGCTTGAAAAAAAAATCCATATTCTGGACATTCTAATTAAGTGTGACAACTAATGAAAATTCTCTTTATCCGAAAAATTCTGATAAAAAACGTGTTATATATTCCATAAGTAATTCAAAGGGTATGGCTAGAAGAGTGAGTGTAAAATTCCACAGTCTAAATATCACTGTTGAAAAACTTGGTGAGCAAGCACCACAAATTTAGTATTTGAGAAATATTTTATACAAGTTAAGAAACATATCATCATCTAAAAAAATCTACAAGTGCTAGCCATTTTAATAGAACATCACACAACAATACCAGTCTAACTGAATAGTTCTCAAAAGGGGGTCAGGAAACATAACAGTAAGCTACATCAAAGCAGACAACATGAGTCAATGACTCAAGTAATATGTTCCAAACCAAATTCTGCTACGTATACAGAGACACACAAACTCTCTGTAACTAGAACTAAAAGATATCCAATAGCATTATAATTTATGTACTTTTAAAAAATATATCCTTTCTTAAGTAAATCTCACTGGACTACAGCAATTATTTACTATTTTACTTGATTGCTCTAAGAAACCTATAATCACTTAATGTTGTCAAGATCCATAAAGACAGTACTCATAGCAAACTCGCACACCCAAATGCCTTTTGCTTTTCTTTGGGTTCCTGAGAATTTAAACTGAACCAATCTGGTCAGCGACTAAAGAGAACAAATTAAGATGGAAAAGAGAACGGGGAAGAAATGGTTCAAGTAATTCCAGAACTAGGGTTTCACTTATCCAGATCATTCCCAGGCACAAGTGATTTAGGTTTTCTATCAAACAGGAGCTGAATAAATTGAGGCAAAGTGATAGATCACAATTAAAAAGGCTTCAAATTTATACAGACAACTCAAATTCTTAAACACAGTAAGCCACAGAAATTGCAAATGTGGCACTTGCTCTGGGGAAGTACCAAACTTGTCAGTACATAAATGATAAAACAGTCAGTGGCTAGACAATAGGACAGATGACAGCTCTACTGAAATAAGGTATTCTTATTAACAAAAAAACTTAAGTTAGACAATGCCTACCTATTCCCCAGTGATCCCAAACCCAAACTGAATTCTGTTTCTAAAACAGTATTTATGCTGATCTCTCCCTACTTCTGCTAACATGGTTTAGTAAAAGTGCTGAACTTCGAAAGGAAGATCTGGGTTCAAATCCTGCACTTCTCTGTGTGATCATAAGGCAAGTCACTCTTTCTCAGGACTTTGGTTTCCTTATCTAAAAAATGGGGAAAATAACACATACCTCACAGGGTTTCCATAAAGATAAAAAAAAAGATATACACACACATAACTTTGCCAACTCAAAAGCATCAAACGAATGTTAGTTATCCACATGCTAACCCATCTTTTCCCACTGTTTAACTCAAGTCCCTAGTGATCTGAGAAAACAGTCCTAGATGACAACAACCTTAGATAATCTTCAATTCATTTTGTATCTATTATCAGCAATGCAAAAGTAGCACTTTATTAACTATTATTGTGTTCTCACATTATTTCACATGTGCAAATTTGGGCTCCCTAACTTTGTCCCTGGGTGAGATGGTTTGGTGACTTACATTACATATAAGCTTAGCATAATGCTAGGCCCATTGTTCTCCCTTTCAAATCCTGGGACCAGTGGGTTAACTGATTATAGGTTTTAAGGTAAAGTAACAGAATTAAAGTTGAACGCACAAATTAAGGAACTATAGGATTTCTCATTTACCTGCTATGTTTTATTTCCAAATCTTTTTTTTTTTATTTAGCACTGGAACTATATATGTTTTCATCTTTTAGCACTTGAAGGCAAGAAGAAAACGAAGTAACGAATGGCAAAACAAAAGCAGCTTGGTATCTTAGTGGTTTTAGACCTGAAAACAGACAGCATCATGCCTTACCCTATTCTACTGAAAGCAATGGCACTATCATATGTACCAGCTCTAGGACACCAGCAGTTAGTTTCAAATCAGGAAAGGATAACTTATAACAAGAGTAAGGCAAAGTAGTCTGTATACAAATCCATATGCTCAGCTACAAAATCTGCAAATGGCTATATCACATAAAAAGAACATCTATTAAGCTGGTACTTGATAATTTAAAAAAATTACACTTAAGATACACCAAACTGGTTAGGATTGGAAAAATTTCAAAATGTGAATTATAAAGGATTACACATGTAAATTAGTCTAATCTGTTCATTATCCAGATAAGATAAATTATGGCACAAAAAAGACAGTCTTGTCCCAAGATCACAAAGCTTATTACTTAGCAGGGCTGAGAATAGAAACTAGGTCCAATAACTTCAGCAAATGTTCTTTCCATGACCAATCCCCTTAATTCAAACAAAAAAAATCCCACTGCACTCCTTTTTGCATAAGCTTTTCGATGTGTTCTGCACATTACAGACATTTAAATCTTTACTGCTAAAATATCAAGATCCATGTTTGGTAAAATTTTAGCACTACTGTTTAACACCTAGCCAACCACCATCCCATAAACAATTCCTGTTGTGTTCTTCTGACATGCCAAAAGGAATTATCATTACGTGTCTATCTGTAGCAACACGGAAAATAAAAACACAAATATCAGCATTTTAAGACTGGAAATGGGCATGGCTCTAATTCACAATAACACAAACTCCAAAAAAATATTCATTTCAATTTCATCAACAAGAACATGAAACTTGAATAACAGTGTTCTGAAAGAATGCAACTATTTTATTAAAATATATCTTCTCATTAATCCAGAAAACTCAGAGATAGATGGATTTCAACATGCAAGAATCAGATATGTGCTTGGAAACTCTCACATCACTGTTTTCTGGACTATAAAAAATTCTGTTTTCTAAATATGACTGGCAAGGCTCTGAATAAGTTCCAGAATATGGATGATTGTAGTACAAATTGTTACATACATTCCTTGAAATTTCATATTGAAATAAAAATCAGTTACCAGACTCTGGGGAGAATAAGAGTTGACAGTACTCGAGTTGCTAGTAGCTGATGCCATCTGAGTGTTGTGTTGAGAATTTGTGAAGACGAGGGCTTGGCCAAAGCCCTGTTGTTGTGGAGGTTCAAATGAGCTGACTTCTGGGACTTGGGTAGAAGTAGAAGGCTTCTGGAGCAAGGCTACCAAGTCAATGCTAAGCAGACAAAAGACAACATCTAAGTCATATGATTATCTTACCAGAAAATGCACTGAGAAGCAAAATAATGAGAAAACTGTGCGTGTGAAAAAATCTATAAGAAAAGGAGCTGTATTCAACCTCTGGTAAACAAGGAAGAAAAAAAAAGGGGGGTAATATAAACCACAAAAAAACAAATCCACAGAAATTCAAATTCAAGAAGGGTTGTAAAGAGTTGGAAGGAAAAGTAGTAAAATGGAATGTATCTACCCAGAAAATTTGGGAGTAATTATTTTTGAAAACATGTTTCATTTCATTGTTGTTATATTTTAGAGCCTTTACTACCTCATAAAATTGGGAGTTTAGGAGACAAATGGTCTAATCTGGACTTGTAGATATAGACACTGAATTTTATTTAGTTAATAAATATTTATACTGGTTGTTTTTACACCTTGGTTCAAAGAAGGACTGTGTTTATCAGGTTGTTACTTTTATTAATGGAATTCAATCTTGGGATTAGAGGGGACTTCAGAAGTCAATACCTGAACAAGGAATCCCTTTAAAAAAATAACTGGGAAAGACCTACAAGAACTGATGCTGAGTGAAATGAGCAGAAACAGCAGAACATTGTACACAGTAACTGCAACACTGTGTGATGACCAACTTTGATAGACTTAGTTCTCCTCAGCAATGCAAGATTTAAGATAATTCCAAAAGATTCATGATAGAAAATGCTATCCACATCCAGAGAAAGAACTACGGAATCTGAATGCTTGTTTGTTTTTTCTGTCGTGGTTTTCCCTTTTGTTCTGATTCTTCTTTCACGACACGACGAATGTGGAAACATGTTTAATATGATTATACATGTATAGCCTATATCAGGATTGCAAGCCCACCTTGGGGAGGGAGAAAAATTTAGAACTCAAAATCTTACAAAAGTGAATGTTGAAAACAAAAAATAATTACTCTAAAAAAAAAATTAACTGACCACTCTTTATACCGTCTTTGTTTGAAGGCCTCTAATGGGAGAGAACCTACCTTTTGCCACTTGAGGCAGCCCATTCTGCTTTAGGGCAATCTCATTTTCAAAAAGACTTTTCTTCCTCTTAACTCAAGCCTAAATTTGCCTCTGTCACCCACCATTCTTAGATTTTCACTCTGCTCTAAGCTGAACAAATTTCATTGTCTTTTCCAAAGGAAAGGCCCTTCCAATGTTATGTTATCCCCACCTAAATCTTCTTCTGAGGGCAAACATCCCCAGTTTTTGCAACCAATTCTCGCTCATATGGAATAATTCTGACGCCTCCACAATTCTTTCTCTTTCAAGCAGAAGTCTTTCTTACAAAAGCTAGATGCAGTTTATATTTAAAATATTTATTTGACTAGAACATAAATTAAAGCTAAGCCTAGAATTTTAGGCTATAAGATAATCTGCTTATTTGCTTTAGTTGTACTTCAAATTTGTGTGATAAGCACCATGGGTAGAATATCTCACCTTATTAAAACTAATATTTACAATATTTCTTAAGTCCAAAAAACTCAGAAACATTTTCCACATGGATTGGTCAGATATGTGCTTGGAAAAGAGTACATCATTGTTCTTTGGACTTTTCAATGTTGTCTCCCCTGCAAAACTTGGTCAACGAATGTATTTCTTGAAAATAATTGGTATTTCAAGAAAAAAATGGAACAATCTCATAAATTAAAATCAAATTTTGCTATCACCTTAAGTGATAAGGAATTTGTTTCACACCTACATTAAACATGAAGAAAAGTATTACACACATGTTCAAAATCCTCAAATAGTACTTTCAAAAATGTATATAACAAAACAGTTCTAAGTATTGTTTTCAGAACTCCAAATCTATTACACGGAAAAACATTCAATACTTTCAAAAAAGGGCCTTGAAATTAATTTTTTAGATTTCCCTCAGTACCAATGAGTTGAGTAAAAAACTTCTAACAAACGATTTCTTCAAATGCTTCATTTCTAATTTGTTAATATGCATCAAGTACCACACCTCTCCCACTAACTGCTTTTTTTAGTGTGTGGAGGCTTTTAGTATTATTCTAAGCAGAGGATACATTTGAACTTACTTTACATTACATTCAGTGAATTTTAAGACACGAGATGGAGAATTAGGAAGACATTCAGAATAAGCACTTGCTTATTTGGGAGATTTTACTCTGTTAAATGTGTGTAATACATGTTTTCAAACCAACTTTCATTATGTGAGGACCAAAATTATAAGGAAGAGAGAGTCTGGGAACTTTAGAAGGAAAAAGGAGTTCATTTATAAGCCACAACTCACAGGTCTTAAATGATGATATAATAAACTGCAGCTAATTGAGTAATTCAGATTAAATCAGTCAAAACTAAAAAGCGCAAGTTTGAAACGTAATTATTATTATTAGACTCTTAGGATTTCATTTTTTCTTCCTGTTATAATTAACTAAAATTAACTCTAAAACAAAGTTATTTTGCTGAGCAGAGTACTATAAAGCTTGTGTACTCTTTTATGATTAATTCAATAAGATTAATTCAATAAGAATAAAATCATCTTACTTAAAACAATACTTTCTTCTAATTCAGAGCCTTTCATGTGTGTAGAAGCAAACAATCTCAAAATTGGAACACAGTCTCTTACATTATCCATAAATGGTCTTTAGAATAAGTTTCTATTAACTCAGCTGAAAATAAAATACAGTTTTATATGTTTAAACCCGATCTTTCCACTACATAAGTATAGAGTATATTATGCCTTCTAATCGTAGAAAGACAATGGCTACTATTTCCCAAAAAACTCAATCTTAAACTTTCCCCCATTCATTCCCTTGAGTTAAATAGGGAAAACTACTGCTAATAATGGCAACATACTTAAAATGACTGTCAATATTTGTGTGAAGACCACTGTTGGAAACCTCATTCTGGGGAAAAAAAATTTTTTTAACTTAGTCATCCATATCAAAAAAGAATACTTTTCTTTCCTTTGTATGTGGTAACTGATTTAGGTCACCTACCTAATATAAAATGACCCTGAAATTAAGTCATCGGAAAAGTTTGTTCTAATAGCGGTCAAGGAAAGAAGATTTTACCTTTGTCCAGGTGTGACGTGATTTTCAGCTGGAACAGAAGAAGCAGTGAATACCTTCGTTTCAGAAAGCTGTGTGGAAAAGAGAAATTTAATTCCAGGTGTTATGCATAGCATAAAAGCAACATGCACACCAAATTCCTGGCTATTATATCGTAACCATCTCATGGTAGCTCAGACAGCGATAGTTTACAGGAAAAGTAAAGATCTTTGAATAACAAATGATTTTATGTTTGATCTCTAAAGTAACAAGGGGTCCCAGACCTGTATTCTGAGAGGATGACTTTGGCAACTGTATAAAGGATGGACTACAGAGGAATCAGACTTGAGACAGGGAAACCAATTAGGAAAGTATTGCAATAATCCAGGTGAGAGGGGATAAGGACCTGAACTAGGGTGGTAATTGGGTGGGTAGAAAGCAGACAGATGAAAAATGCTATGGATTTTGAAGCCCCAAGATGTGGAAACAGATTGGTTATGGGGGACAGGAGGACGGGATATGATGGGGGAAGGAGAGTATGGCTCCAAGATTGGGAATATGAGTGATGCTCTCAATAGGAGTATAATAAGTTGTTTGGGACAGGTTAAATTTAAGGTACATATGGAATATATTTCTGGAATGCATCTGCTGAAAATCAAGAACTGAAGTTACTGAAATAACTGAGAAGATGAGAGTGTACAGAGAACAGGGTCTAGGACAAAGCTTTGGGGGACATGCAAAGATAAGTGGAATATCAAGACATACAAAGAAGAGTGGATCATCAATAAAGACTAAGCAAAGGGATATTAATAAAGAAGCTTCCTCCCCACCCCCAAACCCATGATGGCAGGAGGCAATCGAAGACAGAGCAGGGTCACAAAAACTTAGGAGACAGCATCCAAAAGGAGATAGTCATTAGTGTCAAATACTGCAGTGAGACCAAAAATGTGCGTACAGAGGAAAAACCAGTGGATTTGACAATTAAATCACTGGTAACTGGGGAAATCAGTTTCAGTTGAGTGAAGAAGTTAGAAGTCAGAGTACAAGAGAGGAGTCAATGAGCAGTGAGTTCATCAAACTGTTCTAAGAGTTTGGTAGTGAACAGGAAAAATCTAGGGCAGTGTTTTGAGTAGGTGGGAGGTTCCAGACAGAGTGTTTTTTTAAATTGGTGTTTTGTTTCTTAAGGGCAGGGAACTGTGACTCTCCCATAGTCATACTTTTAGGTAGCTGAGAATAGGACAGTCCAGGGGTGGGAAACCTGCAGCCTCAAAGCTATGTGTGGCCCTCTAGGTCCTCAAGTGTGGCCCTGTGACTGAATCCAAACTTCACAGAACAAATCCCCTTAATAAAAGGTTTCGTTCTGTAAAACTTGGACTCAGTCAAAAGGCTGCACCTGAAGACCTAGAAGGCCACAGGATCCCCACCCCTAGGTCAGAACATAGGGAGACAGATTGGAAGGCAAGGGAGAGAATGGTTTCATGGGTAAGCTGTCAGAAAAGATGTGAAGAGATAAAATCAAAGGTACAAGTAGAGGGGGTTGACACGGTTAAGAATGGCCAACCCTTAAGAGTTGGGAGGAAAGGAGAAGGACATCAAGGGGTTTTGAGATGAAGGAGTTCATGATGAATGGCCTATACTTAATACAGTAATATATGAGAGGTCTTCCACCGAGATGTATGATGGAAGGTGGGGTATGTGAGCATGGGAAGCTAAAGGAGAGAAGTGAAGCCTCAGAACAGCTGTTGTAAGGTAAAGAATCAATTAAAGATGTGTAAATGAATTGCCTTGCTGCATGGAGGGAAGATATATTGAGACTGGTTAAACATAGTTAAGACTTAGTAGGAAGGAAAATGAAGCCAGAGCAAGAGTGAAAGTTTAGAAACTAGAAGAATGGGAGGTCATAGTAATGACCAAGAATAAATACGTTTGGAGCATAGGGAAAAGACAGAGTAACAGGTAGCTGATATCAGTTTTGATCAAAGTAGCACACTGAAGCCATGTGAGCAGATGAAGTTAGCAGAAAAGTCAAATATTAGCCATAAATGGGCATGCAAGTGTGGGATTCAAAGGGTTGTGTCTATGAAGACCGGAATAAAATAAAAAGGACACATGGAACCTAGAATTTTTGCAATTTTAACCAAACCTACAAATGTGAAATTAATTCTTCTTGTTCTTGTGTGGTCATAGTTTTCTACTGTGACACTACAGGGATAATGACAAATGGAGCTCCTTATGGTTCAGTAAGAAAGAGCATTGAATTTGGAGCCAGAGGACCTGGATTTGAATCTCAGCTACACTGCCTGTGCTGCAGAGGGCCAAGTCATCGCCTCTTTTCCTCAAAAGTGAAATGGGAGTCTAGAAAGACTACAGTTGTGAGAATTACTTAAGACAAAATCAGGTACAATTTTCTGACAGATAATCTTGCAGCTTTTTACAACTTAAAAAAACTCTTAAGAAGCAAAATGTATTCCATTTGGTGCAATCACTTGCATTACACAATTTTACACTGTGTTCACAAGATTTTAACACATATTCTAAAATTTAACAAGAATGCACACTTATTATATTGGATAGCTTTGATGAATGCTTCATTTCCCCAAATCCAGCCTTCATCATACCCTACAAATTCTCAACGAATTTTAAATCAGTCAAGTTCTGAAACCATTTAAGTATGTTTCTGTCCATTTCTTGCTCTTTCCTGATGTGGCATGGTATAGAACAATAATATAGCATACCATCTTCCTATGGGAATTTTTGTAATTTCAGAACATTTTTGCTTCAAAATACAGTAATATGTTTATCAGTATTCATAATTCCCCAAATGGAGGCAAGACTTCCAGGCCCAATGGAAGTAAAAAATATGCAAAACATTTTTGTAATTGTATTCTTTTTTTTGGGGGGGGGTGGCAGGCAATGGGGTTAAGTGACTTGCCCAGGGTCACACGGCTAGTAAGTGTTATACGTCTGAGGCCATATTTGAACTCAGGTCTTCCTGAATCCAAGGCCAGTGCTCTATCCACTGTGCCACCTAGCTGCCCCTTGTAATTGTATTTTGCTATCTAATAAAGATGCCCAGATTTTATGGCTCTCTTGAACCTCATTAAATAATTTTGGTATAGTTTTAAATGAAAAGGTAAGTTCTATCAGGAAGAATCTTCATTTAAAGTTTCCTTGGAGTAATAGCCATTCTTAAAAACCAAAGAATTAAAAAACAACATAAGAAAGCAATGAAATGTGTGTATGGCCCAAAATCTAGCACTCAACCCAAAAAGAACTAAAAATGGGGAAATCAGCTTCATCTAGTTTTATTTCATTAAAGATGATGAACTGAATTAGCCTGTCAGTAGAAACACATGTACATGATGCTACAAAAAGGAAAAATTTCAAATAACTGTTGATTCCAGGTAATTTTCATACCACCATACCTCAAAGGACCCTATAGGCTCTAAATTTATGATCTTATAAAAATATTTCTTGTTTTCTTTTATATTTATGTAAATAGAAAAATGTGACAGGCTCCTAACCCCAAAGACAATAAATCTAATTCTGGTTCTTTGGATGCAAATCTATATAACTTTATCATGAGATTATGAGAGTTAGAAGGGACATATCACTTAGTACAACCCACACCTCAACAGTAATACCTTCTAAATGATCACTAAGTAGTGGTCATCCAGCCAATGACTAAAGATTTCAAGTGAAATGGAAGCCATTCTATCAAGATCTTATCTATTTCCCTAAGTATTGGTCATCAATTACCAAAAACCCTTCCAATTATTTTGAAAACATGTAGTATTTACTTATCTGTGTGCATAATATTTCTGCTGAACAAACTGTAAGTTTCTTGAGGGCAGGGGACCATTTCTTTGTGTTGGTATCCACAGGCCCTAGCACAGAACGTGGCACATAACAGGTGTTAAATAAATGCTTGTTGAACTGAACTCAATCTAGAAGCAGCCCATTTGATATTTTTTTTAAACTGTAATTTTAAGGAAAATTATTCCGTAGTCAAGGAGAAATCCGTCTCTTTGTACCTCATGCCCACTGATTCTAGTTCATTTGTATGGGGTCCAACATATAAAGTCTATGTCCTCTTCCCGATGATAGCTCTTCAAATTATTAAGATGCTGATCATATCCTCTTCTCAGACTTCCTTTATCCAAGCTAAACAACTGTAGTTCTTTCACCTAACCCAAATATAAGAAAGCTTACAATCCACTTATGGACTGTAAACTATCCATGTATGATGTCCTCTTTATAATCAAAAAGAACATACTTACTGAGCATCTACTATGCGCAAGGAATAGCATTAGTTGCTATAGAGGAAGGGGGAGGCAAAAAGAGAACCATGACTTATATATGTGATGAGAGGTAAGACAGAAAAATAAAAGAGTAAAAAATGCCACAAGGAAGTAGTCATACATTATTAACTATCAAATGAGAAGTACAGGCAAAAAACTGCTGCATGAATTAATGGAGGAACTCATCAATGTGGGCTGGAATGGTCTAGAAAGGCACATAGAATCTGAGTAAGAAGGGAGATGATGAGATCTGATGATCTAATCTAACTGCTTTATTTTAGTGAAGGAAAATGAGACAAGGGAAATGGCTTGTCCAAGATCACACAGGTAATGTGAATCCTATTTCTGCCACCATACACAGCAGACTTTCTGAAGTACTACTCCGTGTCCTCCTTAGTTTTGGAGGATGTACAGGGCTTGAAATGAGTAGATACAAAAGGAGGTTTTTAGGCAGGAAGAGAGACAAGAACAACAACAAAAGTATGGAGACATCAGTACAAGAAATATGTTGAAGGCAAAGTAAAGAGACAGATTTGGCTGTGGCAAACAGTTTAGGAAGGTGAGTAATTAAGGAACAGGGCTGAAAACACTCACTAGCCAGGTTGAAGAGGGTATAAAGCCAAACTGAGGAGTCTGGAAGCAGGAATTCTCTAAGCTCACCTCTGCCACTTGGAATCCCTAATTCTGTTCAAAATCCAATTCAAACACACAGTTTGGCCCACCCTGCTCATCTTCCTCTATCAGAGGACCCTGTATGTTTTGCATGCATGAATGTTACGTAGTCCTCACCCCTAACCTTCTTGAGGGAAAAGGAACTCTCACTTCTATCTGTGTATCTTCAGCACTTAGCAAAATGGCTTACAAAGACAGAACAGGCACGTAATTAACACTTACTGACTGACACATTGTTATTTTATATAATCTACAACATACACTTACATCTTCATTCCAGTCTTCTGTTGTCCACTCTTCCATAGAGTTCTTCCATGCCCCTGCTGTGATATGACCAAAAAAAAAATAAACTTCAGAGTATACTTTTACTTCAGATGTCTCAAGGTTCCACTCTAAACTCCATGTCACATGATGCAAAGGCATGTTTTAGGTCAACATCAATTCAGTTTAAGTGTTACCATGCGGGGAAAAAAAGTTATTGTGTACATAAGTACACTGCTGGCAGAGATGAAAAAATGGACTAACCATTCTGGGGGGAGAAAATTGGCTTTAACCAAGAGAGGTACCAAACTATTACTCAAAGATGACAAATACTGAGATTGATGAGTTAAAGGCAGAAAAGACCAATTTATAAGAAAATATTATTAGCAATACTCTTTTTTTGGAATGCAAAAACTTAGAAACAACTAGTGGACATTACGTTACATGAATGTACTAAAAATTATCATGGCATAAGAGAGAACAAACGAGGAGAAAATCAGTGGAACCTTGAACAGTTTTAAAATGGAACAGATTAGAAAAGATTTAAAAAAAACAACAACTCATTAATGTGGTGCAATAAACCCAAAACATAAATCACACAGGGAAGATCTCAATATGTGACCAGAATTACCGGGAAAAACCAGAAAGCAGTCAGACAAAAATTAGCCAGTCAATAACCATTTACCAAGTACCTAGTATGTGCCAATCACTGTGTTGGGTGCTGCAATATAAAGAAAGGCAAAAGACAGTCACTGACTACCAGGAACTCACAACCTAATGTTAAAGAAAATGTGCAAACTACCATATATATGAAAAATTGGAAATAATAAACAGAAGGAAGGCACTAGAATTAAGAAAGATTGGGAAAGGTTTCCTGTAGAAAGTGAGATTTAAGTTGGGACTTGAAGGAAGCCAGGAGGCAGGGATGGGGAAGGAGAGAATCCCAGGCAGGAATTCTGTCCGGGAGGAGAACCAGGGAAAATGCCTAGAGCTAGGAGACAGAATTTGAAGAACAGCAAAGAGGCAGTGTCATTGGATTACATGGTACATAAGGGTCAAATAAGGTATAATAAGACTGGAAAAGTGGGGGGGGAGGAAGGGACAGCCTATGAAGGATTTTATAATTCATCCTCTATGTGATGGGGAGCCACTGAAGTTTACTGGGTAGGAGGGTGAGACGATCAGGCCTGCTATGCAGGAAGATCATTTGATAGCTGAGGGGAAGATGGTAGGCAGACTTGCAGCAAGGAGACCAAGCGCAGGCTACTGCAATAGTATGGGCATGAGGTGATGGGCGCATTTAAGAGATAGTGTCATATAAAATGGACAAGCCTTGGCAACAGATTGGATGAGAGGTGAAACACAGTGAGAAGGACGGCACTTAGAGTGCAAGTCTGAGGGACTAAGAAGATAGCGATACCCCCTAAGTAATACAGCTGGGAAGGTGGCAAGAGCTGCAGGAAAAGATGCTAAATTCAGCTTTGGACATATTGAGTTTGAGACACCTACAAGAATATCCCGTTCCAGATGTGTTGTGAGGTACTTATTTTATGCCAGATACCACATGCTAAACACTAGGGATACAAAGAAAGCAAAAACATAATCACCAACGTCAAGGGGTGCACATTCAACAGAGGGTGACAAGCAAACGACCACATCTTAGAGGAAAGGCATTAAAATGACAAGGAATGGGAAAGGCCTCTTTTAGAAGGCAGGATCTGAACTGGGTCCTGAAAGAAGCCAGGAGGTGCAGGTAAGGCATGGGGGGTAGCCAATCACAGCAGAGAGGCCGGTGACACTGGCTCACAGAGAGTGAAAGGAGCATAAAGTCTAAGAAAATTGGGGTAACGGGGAGCCACAGGGTTTACTGAGTAGGAGGATAACACGGTCAGATCTTTGCTAAAGGACTTGCACCAAGGTTGTTGGCAGTGTCAGAACAGAAAAGACAACATGTACTACTGATGTCAACATAGTAACAATAAGACCTGACAAAAAAATTGGACATGTGGGGTGAGTGCAAGCGAAGAGTGTACTCAGGTGAAAGAGTACTCAGAATAGTAACAGGGATGATGGGGAGGAGAAATAATGAGTTCTGTTTTGGACATCTTGATTTTTAGATATTTAGGGGAAATTCAGTTTAACTTCAATGATATCCAATAGGCAGTTGCAGATACAAGACAGGTGCAGAGAGTAGTTTGAGCTGGAAAAACAGCTCTAAGAATCATCTACGAAAGACAACTGAATCCAAGAAAGTTGATGAGATAATGAAATGAGGCAGAATATTAGGAGAAAAGAGAATGGCCAAGGATAGACCCCAAATCGTGGGTGTGACCTGGAGGAAGACCCATTGTTAAGAGGTGAATTCTTAACCAAGTAAGGGACCAAAGTGACTTACAAAGGACAAACTAGGATAAAAAGGGAAGAGGTCAATTAGGAAAAAAAAACCTTTGTATCCAGTATCTCTAATAAGTATTTGATATTCAAAATATATACATAACTAACAGAAATAAGTAAAATGCAAAGCATTTTTAGACAGTCAAACTGTAAACTAATAAAAATTATATAAAATGATGCTACAAATTAGCAATTAAAGTGCAAATAAAACAACCCTAAGGTTTCACAACAAACAAAACACTTACAGAAGATGATAAAAGAAAAGGAACAGTCACAGCTGGAAAGATTATGGGAAAATGGGTACACTAATGCATTGTTGGGGCTACTAAGCGGTACAACTATTATGTAAAGGAATTTTGAACTATGCAAAAAAATATTTAAATGACCAATCCCGCTGATCCAAATATGCATGATAATGCAAATGCTGCAAGAATGTCAATGAATAAAAGAAAGCCCTGTATAAATCTAAAATATGTGCTAGCCAAGTAGTAGAAACAAAGTATGTGCCTATCAATCAGGGAATGGTCAAACAAATTGTACATGAATGTAATGGAATACTACTGTGACGGAATTAAAGATTAATATGATAAATATAGAGAAGCATAGTCATTTCTGAATATTTAAGTCAGTGTTCTCATTTTAGCCTTAGGATCCCTTTACACTTTTAAAAACTGTTGAGAATCCCTCCATCCAAACAGTTTTGTTTATGTGGGATACATCTATCAATATTTAACATTAGAAATTAGAACAATTTTGACCTCTCAGACCCCCCCTTAATAGGGTCTGGGGACATATGGGGTCCTTAGATCACACCTTGAGAACTGCTGGAGTAACTGAAGTAAACAGAATGAGAAAAACAATATAGATAATGACAACAACGTAAATGGAAAGAATAACAAAAAACAATAGAAAAGGAAATGCTACAAAATGTCAAAGCTAATTCTTCGTAGAGTAGTGAGGGTGGAAAACAGCATATTATCAAGACATTTTTTGATGGGTTGGTTACCTTTGCGAATGTTTTTCTTTTTTTTTTCTTCTTATAACTCTCTGAGAGAGAACAAGAAGATAAATACAAAGGGGCAACATAAGTAATATGAAAGCAATGCCACCAGGCATCTAAGCTCAGCTTAAGAGCAATAAACACGCAATCAGTCCCAGGAGACATGATAAAATATCCTTCTTCTCCTCTTTATAAAGAGGTGGGAAGATAAAGGCAATGAACATTTCACTAAGACTCACATTCGGTACCACCTAATTTTGTTCTTTTTCTTTATACCACAGAGAATTCTACATTTGGGGGGAAAGGAACAAAAGGGAGTCAAATTACTAATATAAAAAGAAAAGGTATAAATAAATACATTTTTAAAAGTTAGACTTGGCAATTCATTTCTTAATCCGTTTCTCCACAAACTGACAATCTTAAGAGAGAAGATAAAAAACTGTCACTTGGTTAACAGAAAACAGAATGACTGTCCTAAGTCTAAGGCTGACAAATAGCAACAAGAAAAGTCTTTAGTCATCTTCAAATATTAAAAATTCTGGGTATAGTGACGGAACCCAATTTAAAGCTAATAACAAACAGAATTTGTTTATTCAACAAAAGACAAAATTAGTTCCTCCGTCTTTCTTTGCTGCTTGCTTCACCTATAAAGACTACCTACTATACTAGTATGACAAACATACAAGCACATTGAGAGGCACTATCTTGTGAAGCAGGTACTACAAATAATACTATTTTCATGAAATTTAGTCTAAGAGGTGTAAAATTATACAATAGAGATGTAATGCTACAGAACAGTAAACACTGGACTGAGAAATGGAATGCTAGTCCTTAATCCTGAATTCAGTTTTTTCCCCACTGTACCATAAAGTCTTCCGCAAGACATGTCATTCCATCAGCTAATATGGCAGAAAAGGAAAATGACAAACCTGGTGGGGATGTGAGAAAACTGGGGCACAAATATACCATTGGTGCAGTTGTGAAATACTGCAACCATTCCAGAGAACAATTTGGAACTATGTCCAAAAGGTTATAAACTGTGAATATTCTTTGACCCAGAAATACCACTATGAGGAGTATATATCCCAAAAAGGGGGGGTAAAAAAAAGGGAAAGAACAAAAATATTTATAGTGACTCTTTTCTGTGGTGGCAAAGAATTGGGAAATTGAGGGGATGCCCATGAACAGGGAATGGATGAACAAGTTGTGGTATATGACTGTGACAGAATATTACTGTGCTCTAAGAAATGACAAGCAGATGTTGTCCATGTCCAGAGAAAGAAGTAGAGAGTCTGGATGCAGATCAATGCATACTATTTTCTCTTTCTTTTTCTCTTTCTTGTGGTTCTTCCCTTTTGTTCTGAAGAACTTCTATTGAGAGTCAGGTGAATTAACAACTTTAGCAAAATTGCAGGAAAGAAAATAAAACTCACACAAATCATCAGCATTTCCATATGTTACCAACAAAGCCCAGCAGGAAAGAGAAATTCCATTTAAAATAACTACAGACAATATAAAATATCTGGGAGTCTACCTGCCAAGGCAAACCCAGAGACTACAACAAACACAATTCCAAAATACTTTTCATACAAATAAAGTCAGATCTAAACAACTGGAAAAATATCAATTGCTTATGGGTAGGCCAAGCTAATATAATAAAAATGACAA